AAATTTTAGCGATATTTCGACATTTTCCCAAAGTGACTCTAATAATGAGAATAGAGTCAGACTTCTATCTCTTTAATAACCGAGGTATTAAGTCGATATATCGTTCATAGCATGCCTTTGTGTTTATTAATTCTGAATAATTCTAAGAAATTTTTTATCTATATACTCATTTCGAGGGCACTTCTGGTTCGATTAGGTATAGCCATATTCTTTTAACTCCATTGATATCGACGATACAGATCATTGACGAAATATATTTAAATTTAATAAGGCGATCGCATCTGAAGATTTTATCTAGGTATTTATTCAGTTATTTCTGTTCTGGGAACTCAAGATAGTTCTCGGAAAAAATTATTCCTGGAAGTTTTATTACAGAAATTATCGGTCAGTTTGATAAGGAGGCAGTAAATACTCCATTTTAAGTACCAACTTAGCTCCGCGCTTTTATTAAAACAATCAATATTTTTAGCGAATAACTGTGTAAATGGTTAAAGTAACACTTATGTATCTTATTCTTGCGTCATAAATAGATTATAATTAAACATCGGAAACTTTGTGGCGACCGACATTCAAATAAATAAACAGTACTAATCTATATTGTGCTAGTAAGCGTCAATAAGCGTTGTAGTAGCAAAAATAGGCTGCTAAATCTCTGGCCAAGTTATGTGCCGCTCTATGCTCACGATATACAATGCTACTAACTTCCATAAAAACACTTGCCATACTGTAGTATAACAACCCTAGGTTCGATTGAAAAAAAAAGAATATAAACGTAATTGTGGCCAAAAATATGTGATCGTCATAAGGAATACCTACGTTTTGTGTATCTATTTTTTTATTGACGGGGGGGCGCTGGCCACTAACTGTTTTTTGAGGGGATGTATGGTTTAATTATATAAAACAAAAGACAGAGTAAATACACCTAGCTTTATTATTTATGTAGAACAATCTTCAAATTAAACATGTAAATTTAACAAAGCTCTTATATGCGTATGACAAAGTGAGAACAAGAAATCAAAGAACAGCGTAATCATGACAAAAACAAGTTAAATGTGAAACAAAGGAGCTGTTTTTGCAATATCTGGGCAGTCACGACAAAATATACATATTTTAACATGTAATAAATAATGAGCAATCTTCAATAATAATTGTAACAATTTTATCTTAGAGAAATATACGCCCCTGAGCGTAAGACAATGAAGGCTAAACATACACAGAATTCTTATCATGAAACATCTATGTTTTTCGAACAACGTAATCATGACAAAAACAAATTAGATGTGAAATAAAGAAGTCGTTATTGTAAAGTCTGGGCGCTCACACAGTATATATATTTTAACATGAAATAAATAATTAGCAATCATTAATAATAATTATAACAATTTTACCTTAGAAAAATATATGCCCTTGAGCATAAAGCAATGAAGGCTAAACATACAAAGAATTATTATCATGAAACATCTATAACCATCACAATCATAAGATTATATAGAACAATTAACAACAAAGTACTTAAAGAATATTACCTGCTAACAAATACCGGTTAAACACTTAATTTTCCACTACTTCTATATTTTTCACACTACACTGATCGTCTTACTTTTCACTCCGCGCTGTTTTCACTTCAACCGCCTATCTTCGACTATTTAGACTTCCTTCCAGAATTCCCTACCTAAGCGTTTGCTTTTTTTGCGCTTCCTTCTACCGACCGTTAATATTACTTTTTCATTATTATCCAATATGTAACAGGTGACATCGAAGTTGATAAGATAAGTACGGTTTTGCACAATACTCTTGCAGCGTTTTTTTTAAACTGTACAAGACGTATCTTTTGTCCTCCCTTTATATACAGTTTTCAGTTTCTGTAGTAAAAATTCTATACTCATATATCCTGATATCTGAAAATTGTCTAGGTTTTGGCCGATCTTAAAAAAAAAACGACAAACATAGTATTTATAGACAGACTGTAGTATTGAATAGCTTTGGCAAACTTTTTAATACTCAAATATACGATTAGATTATAGATAAGTTTACATCAACACAATTTTATTTCAGGTTCAACCGTAACTAATTTGTTGTTTCTTACGCAATATGTAACAGAAATACTTGATTCTGACGGGCAGACTGATATTTTCTCATTCGATTGCCATTAGCTATAATATCTTATGTACATGTACGTTTGGTTTCACATGTCTCACAAAACAGAACTTTTAAAAATCTTACCTTATTGGCAAGAATACTCTTCTATGATATTCCTAATAAGACTGCACAGTTTTTGAAACTAGAACATCCTGAAACATATACAGACCATTCATTCCGAAGAACATCGGCAACGTTACTAGCTAATACAGGAGTTGATGTATTAGCAATCAAGAGACATGGTGGGTGGAAATCAGCCACAATTGCAGAAAGTTATGTTGCTGACAGTTTAAGTAACAAAAATGAAATAGCCAACAGGATTCTTTACAATGACACTTGAACTCCAAGTTCTAGTAGTACGTCGCATAGTGCTTTTTTTAATGGATCAGTCAGATAATATTGTGTGACTGAAATGGAACGGTCAAATAATTTTGAGGAAAATGTGACAATTAGTAAACGCGAGGGGAACAATTATCCAGATTTTATAAATGTTACTAAATGTAATAACTGTACAATTACTATAAATATTAATTCATAATAATTAATAAAATGTAATGTTCATCAAATATTTCTATTTATTTGTTCATAAAATATGCATTTATAACTGGAAATCGCTTTTTTCCCTAGGGAGGTAAGTTACTTACCTCCCGTTGTCCATAGCAACTTCCACTTCTACGGTAAAATCCACTTACCTCCTTAAAAACAATGTATTAATAGTCTATTTACTATATTTACAGATAAAATGCTTTTGTTTCGAATGTATAGAGCAACATTAGGCAACATCCTTATTTTTATACAAATAGTACAGCGTAGCTTATAAAACCATTTAATATAGTTAGATAACCAGTAATTTGACTAATTTGTCTACTTTTTAGCGGAATTGCAAATTAAAAATACTTTAAATTTTAACTTTATTAATTTTTATAAATGTTGACAACTCATTGTTGGAACTTCGTTTGTTCTAAGCTGGTAAAAAAGAGTTAATAATTTTTAGCTTTAATAATAATTGCTTGGATTTAATACTTACAAGAATTCAAAGGAATTTTTCTCAAATATCGTTTGATTTTGTGCCACAATGATTTTATCAGGGCTAACAGGCCATACTCAAATAAAAAATGGCTAAAGTTTCCTTGATTTTATTGTATGACAGTATTGTATGTAATTATTCTCCTGCTGTATCTTTCAAGCACATACACCGAATTTTAAATCATAGCTAAAAATAACTCTTTGCCATTTTATTAACCCACGAAAGCCTAGATTTTGCTCAATTGCATCATGTTTGCTTTTGAGCTTTAGTTAATTCTTAAGAGGGCTCTATAGCAAATAATAAAGAAATTTGTAATTTGCCGCTTTTGAACAAGCGGCATCCTAAATTACAAATTTCTTTACACCAAAAAGTAATTTGAGTTACAAGCCAAGTCCATTTTACAGAAAATCTAGAATGGGAGAAAGTCTGTGATTTGTGCATCAATTCATATTTGCACAAACTGTGTAGTAAAATCTATAAAAATGTATTACTGGTTGCCTATTTAGAGGTATTGCCGTCGTCTGTTGTCTCAACTCCAAGCTTGGCTGGTTGTCTAACTATATTATACATATATAAACATTTATGTATGTACCTATGTACCATAATAACCTGGTTGCAAATAATGAGGCTTTCTCAAATATTTATCTAAAGTATTTTGTTAGTAGTAGTAGTAAAAAAAAATATTGTATCTATAATATTTGCCCCAGTATTTTCAGAATTTAAAAAAAAATGTATTCGTTGGTTAATAAGTATTTATTAAATACTTGTTGATTATACTGTTGTCCATCGTATTAAGAAATAATTATATTACACAAAGTATTTTAAAAGTTATTAAAGAAATCGATTTTCAGGGGCGTCCTTTAGGGCCCTGTATCTCCGAATGGGAGTCATCTGGGAACAATTTTTATAGGAACTTGTCATGTTATTTTAACGTCCCCTGTATAAATTCGATACCCGGTATAATATTTTTATTTCTGTATAATATTCTTCCAGTTTATTATCTCTGTACATGCGTGGTATTCATGTCTGTCATTTATTGATGTTGAACGAAAATATATTTCATTGAAAATAAAATATGTGCGTGTAAAATGAATTGCAGGTATAAATATAGTTGTTTGATAAACAGTATGTGATAAAAATGATGTTAAAACATCAGAGGAGGATTAACAGTTATCAAAACGGCAAATAAAGTACTTCATAATAAGAGCCAAGAGATAACAATTTTGAAATATATCTAAAGTATTTATTTTGTGTAACAGTTGCTTAAATTTATTAAAGTGTCTTCAAAACTATTTTACAAGCTTTTAATAATTTATATAGCATACACAAACAACAAATAAAAATTTACTTTAGTAAACAAATATAGTCATGAAGTAGGTATGATTTATTAGAGTTCAAATTTCAGTAAAACAGAAGATGGCAGAAATCAAGTAATTAAGCAAAAGTATTATTTGCTTTCCAGGTTTTTAAAAACTGAAAATGTTTATTTTTATATGGAATATATACCGATTAAGAATTGATATTTTTATAAACAAAATTTATAAAATGTAAAATAATACCTACGTCACGTTGGCTCAATAAAAATTTTCAATGGATTTACGTTCGAATAAAAACCATTTTAATACAATACAAATTCAGGTGACTTACTAAATTTGTTCGGTACTTATCTGCAAATTCGCATCTCAACAGATATGAAAAGTGAATTTTTGGCCATTTACTACACAATTTTAAGTAGCTAGATTAATCTCTATCGAAAAACAATATTATTTTTTTCCATATGTTAACCAAGATAAACTCAAACACTCCACCAAATTTGGACTGTATCAAGCGATAACTGGTGGGTATAAATTAAGGAAGGTTAACGAGTACTTCATTTTATAACCGGTAAGAATGAGGATTCTGTATATATTTGCTATATTCGCCACTTTCCTGGACCTAAGGTAAATTGTTTTTATAATTTTTTCTTAATACACTTAACCAAAACATGTTCTACTGTGTGATACTTTTAACAAGGATACATCCCTGTAAGAAAGGTATTTATGATTTAAAGTTTTTTAATTTACAATCGGGCACGCCACTGGGCTCAGAAAATGGTCTACATTAAAATGAACATTGAAATAAACGCAGGATGAGTATATTCTGTAGTTCAGTGAAAGTAATTTTTCAAAACCGCAAATATTTGCGGAGATATATATTTTTTTAAATCAGTTCATTCATTTCTACTTTTTGGAAACACATGTCCGTATAGAATTGAATCAAAATCTGGCGTGTTGGCGGTTGTCTAAGACTCGGGTACTGGGCTCACTTAGTTTTCATTATAGTTTTTGTAACGATCAGTCTCCAAAAATTCACCCTTAAAAAAATTGTGGTAGGTACATGATTTATTATTTTCAAATATGCGCATTTTTAGGGTCTATTTAAAAACAAATATACTGGTACCGATTTCGCGAACAACAAATTATTTCACACCTTTGGACCACAATTTTTATTGAAAAATATTTCTTACCAATGATAGTAATAGTCATATTAATCAATCATCGTCATCGTAATTAATTTAGTCATCAATATTATGTATAATTGTCAGATGTTTAAAATGTGCCATGCTCCTTATGTAACATATCACGAATATATCTTATTAGGGCATTGTTTTATTAAAATTTGTATGAACGAGATCACAAAACACGTAGATAACAACAGATTAAATATTATTCAAGTGGTTGCAATCAAACTGTATGACTCGCTTATTAATTATACTATTACGTGGATAAATGCAATATTTTTAAAAAAAAATTCTGGTGCATGAGAAATTCTTTCCTCCCGCCGTTATAGAGGGCGCGCGTGTACTTCTCACAGGGAGTAACTGTTAAACTTTCGTCCCTGCTATTAGGGACGAAAGTACGTACTTTCGACCGAGGTATGAAGAAAAAGCAGTTTTACTAAACTCATATAGCTTTTAAGTTACTCGCTTGCTGCCCTTGCTCGCTGCTCTCGCTCGTACTCAAAATCTACACTAACAAACTATTTCCATGATTCCAGTTTAGGAGATGGCGACGACGAAAACGTCGACTACCAAATAACCGACAAGACCTACCCGGAGGGGTTCGTCTTCGGCGTAGCAACAGCCTCGTACCAAATCGAAGGCGGTTGGAATGAAGACGGCAAAGGCGAGCAGATCTGGGACACGTGGATCCACAACAACCCCGGAATAGTTGCTGATGGTTCCACAGGCGACGTAGCATCCGATTCCTACCACAAATACAAGGAAGACGTGGCTTGCATGAAAGAAGTAGGCGTACAATACTACCGCCTATCGATCAGCTGGGCCAGGATCCTACCAACTGGCCGTATCGACAAGGTCAACCAAGCTGGAGTCAACTATTATCTAAATGTATTGAAGGAACTGAAAGCTAATGGCATCGAGGCCATGGTGACGCTGTACCATTGGGACTTGCCCACTGCACTCCAAGACATTGGGGGCTGGACTAATCCTGAAATTGTGGAAGTTTTTGCTGATTTCGCGCGGCTGTCGTACGGATTGTTCGGCGATTACGTCCAAACGTGGGTGACCATCAACGAGCCCAAGCAGATTTGCCACGGAGGGTACGCCAATGCTGGGTATGCTCCGGGTATAGATTCCAAAGGTGTTGGAGAGTACTCGTGCGCTAGGAACATTCTTCTGGCCCACGCCCGAGGGTGGCACATCTATGACCAGGAATTCAGGTCCAAGCAAAACGGTAATAGATTCATATTAAAAAAAGATCGTTGAAAGTTTACAGAAAATTGATTCGTAGGTAGGATCACCATCGTTATCGATTCGGATTGGTACGAACCAACAAACTACACACCGGAAGATGAACAAGCCGCTGAAACCAAAAGACAGTTTGTTGTAAGTACCAGAAATCAAAGTTCTGTTGTCTTTTATTAAAAGAAAAACTATTTTTTTAGTTCGGAATGTATGCCAACCCAGTTTTCATCGGCAACTGGCCCCAAGTGATGATCGACAGAGTGGCAGACCGTAGCGCTAAAGAAGGGTTCAATTCATCGCGATTGCCAGCGTTCAGCGACGAGGAAATTTCTCTTATTAAGGGTACCTACGACTTCTTAGCGCTCAACCATTACACTACCTACATGGTGGGGGCTGCTGACGAGCCAGCCATAGGAAGCCCTAGCTGGGAGTTGGACGCCGGGGGTAACGTATACCAGAAAGACACCTGGGAACAAGCCGCCATCGGATGGTTCAGAGTAAGTCGTTCAATTTGAAAATCCTGAAGAGTAAATAAATCGAGGTCACACATCATAACAGATACCTACGTCACACGCATACAGATGTCATACACACATCACACACATACATCACACTCTCATACGTCACACGCCTACAGATATCACACGCCTGTCACATGCACAGACGTGTGAATAAGTCTGTTAATAAATTATTAATTCTTGTAGGTTGTCCCGTGGGGCTTTGGAAAACTTTTGAAATGGATCAAAGCCACCTATGGAGACCTTGAGATCGTTATAACAGAAAATGGAGTGTCCGATAGGACAGGGACCTTGGAGGACGACCACAGAATCAACTATATTAGGGTTGGTAAATTTTTTTATAATTGTTAAATTTATTCTTTGTTTCCTACGTTTTCATTTGTCTTTGTGGGCAAATAAAAATAATACATGGTATTTTTTAGTCATATATGAGTCACATGTTGGATGCCATGTACGAAGACAATATTAAGATAACTGGGTATACATTGTGGAGCATTATCGACAATTTTGAGTGGACACAAGGTTTCAAGTAAGTAACTTGATTATAGTACAATAATAATCGTCGATATAATTCTACAAGTTATAACTTTGATTGGGGGTCATCATATTAGTATTCTGGGGAGTAAATACTTCGCTTACCCATAAAAAAACTGACCCTACTTAGAAAATATATATAAGTTGCAATTTACTTTGAATAATGACAATGAGTCATTTTTATTTTGTTTATGTTTAGAATCTTTATACTAATTTAATTATTTTTATTCTAGTGCTAAATTGGGCATTTATTACATAAATATGACGGATCCTGAAAGGCCTAGGGTCGCCAAGAAATCTTCCAAATATTACGCTAAAGTGATTGAGACTGGTTGCTTATTAGATTCTTGTGCATAAGTTTTACGAATAAAGTTGTTATGGAATACAAAGTATAGTTATTTTATTTTTACAGCAAAAGTAGTAAATGAACGTAAAAACTGCCATCAAGACTGATGCTAATAAAAAATGGAGCAAAAATGAAGTGACGTTATTTTAAATTAAAATGAGAAAAAAATTATTCTGTTTGCGGCACAACAAAATGTGGTTTTCCTACAAAAAATAATTTTGTAATTAAAACATTTTCATTAGCATGTTCAAAATTGAAATAAAAAAAGCTGGTGATGTCAGTTTTTCTTTAAGTTAAATTATTCTTTTATGCAATTGAATAATTATTTTCTTGGGGCGATAAACCTAGTAGTAAATTAATTGTGTACAAGGCATTGAAATCTGATCCTGTATATTGTATACTGGACATAAAAAATTTCGAAAGTCACATAACTTCTTATTCTCAAAAATTTAACGAAAAACAAGTATCGAAAATGAATTTAGTAGGATCGAATAGTCTGGCAGAGTTTTTTTAGTCTGTTAGTAGTTAAAAATAGAATATAATCTTGTTGTTTTCGGATTATTTAAATATAAATAAAATTTCATTCTGTTTAACGTTTCATTTCTTTAATCTCTCACTTTTTCAGTTACCAATTCATATTATCAACCTTCATTTGGGCGCCAAATTTGAAAATGAAAAGAAGAAACTACACTCCTAATTTTTTTGAAGTATATGAAAGTTTACAGGGAAAAATTCTAAAAAATAATATTTTTAACCGTTTTAACGGTTTATTTTATCATCTTTTTTAACTAATAAAACCTATGTATTAAAACACAACTTCTCTACATCATAATAACATTTACATTTTTATCTTAGAAGGATATGCAAATATAAAAATAATATAAAATCTACTTTATCTGCCAATACACGATTCGTCACTTTAACAACAGATTAAGGCAAAGTGGATGACTATGATAAATAACAAATATGTAGATGCAATAAGTATTTTTCCCAAATACAAAAAATTTAATCAAAACACTTGACAAAATAGAATGTGATAAGTTTCAAATATAAGCGGACGTACATACGGAAAGAAAACAAGTTCAAATTGGAGAAAGCCAAAATGAAGATCACAATATATGGATTTTTAATATTTCTGAGTATATTTTCTTTAAGGTAAATATGGACCAACTTATTTTTTCTTAAACTTTGCGCAGAACATATAGTTTTTCGACTCCATCACACTTTAAGGGAATACTTAGAAGATGTTTGGTGCTTTTTTTTATTTATTTTTATATTATTTATTCTTATATATGTACGTCGTAGCATTAAAAATTAAATAATGTTTGTTATTTTCTGTTTCACAGCCGTTGTTTTGTAAATGTCATATCAAAATTATATATTTTTCAAAATTATCGGTTAGGTTATGGTCAAATTGTCAAAAATACCTCGTTCATTTTCCAAAATTTAGTTCAGTAAACGAAGACACGTAAAAATTAGGAAAATTTCCGTGGAATTGAATGAATTACTTTACCCCAGCGGAATGTTTCAAAATGACTGCAAAAAATCGCAAAATACAGTTTTTTTATTAAAAAAAACTAAACATTTTAGAAAAAAATGTTTTAGACAAAAGTTGTAGAACTTTTTATAACAAAAATTTTGATCCCAACCCGATGTCAATTGATAAACAAATTTATTAGTTATTGTAAAAAAAAGGCTTGAAATCACATTTTTTAAAATTTCTATTTCTTTAAAACGAAAAAAGATATTTTTACGAAACTTTCAGAATATGTAGACCTTGGCGTGTAGAATAAGTGCATTTTTGTAAAATTCCAAAATATTTAATAGTTTTTGCAAAAATTGAGTTTTTCGAAAAAAACACATTTTTTTTCTAGTTCCGATAAATCATACAGTAATGCACTTACGTGACCCATCTTGGGCTAAAAATTTTCTCTAATTGTAAGAGTTGTACTTTCCTGTGCAAATTGTACGCGTGTTGCAAAGTAATTGGAAATATTCGAAAAATCTACCGAAACTTTGACTTCTTTTTTCGGGTCGAAAAATGTAGATCTTTTTCTTATCGTTGAAATTTAATCGGAATGGCATTATTGTCATTGGAACGCTGATATTTATTCACGAATTAAAAATAAAATGTCCTACGACAAACAGGAGCCGAGAAAAAATTGCTTTTTTCAAAAAATCGCTACGACCATATGTTGTAGTTGAATACTTTTACTTCGATATAAAAAACAGTCCGCAATGATTGACCCCCTTTTTTACAGTAAACTTAATTTGGTTGGTAGATTTTTCGCATATTTCCAATTATTTTGCAATACGCGCACAATTTGCAGAGGAAAGTACACTTAGAGAAAAGTTTAAGGCCAAGTTGGGTTACGTAAGTACATTACTGTATGATTTATTGAAACTTGAAAAAAATGTTTTTTTCGAAGAACTCAATTTTTCTCACTCAAAAAAACTATCAAATATTTTGCAATTTTACAAAATGCATTTATTCTACTTGTCAAGGACTACTATTCCAAAAGTTTCATAAAAATATATTTTTTCGTTTCAAAGATAAAAGTTTTTGCGATATAAAAAATGAGATTTTTAGCCGTTTTTGCAATAACTAATACATTTGTTTATTAATTGACATCGGGCTAGGCTCATTTTTTGCTATAAAAAGTTCTAAAACTTTTGTCTAAAACATTTTTTTCTAAAAAGTTTAGGTTTTTTTTAATTAAAAAACTGTTTTTTCGAACTTTGGACACCATTTTGAAAATTAAGCACAAACATTCCGCTGGAGTAAAGTAGTTTATTCAGTTCTACGGAATTTTTCCTAATTTTTACGTGTTTTTATTTATTGAACTAAATTTTGGCAGCAAGTAAAAATCTAATTTGATTGGACTAATAAGTTAGGTTAGGTTAAATACGTATTAATGTTGCATAACGATTATTTTGTTATTTTCGATCGCCCCAAACTGTTACAAACCCAACTTTTCTATCTAAGAACCGTTTTAATAAAGTTTTGCAGACGGTGACGACGAAAACGCCGACTACGTCATAACCAATCGAACATTTCCCGAAGGTTTCATTTTTGGAGTTGCCACAGCTGCGTTCCAGATCGAAGGAGGCTGGAACGAAGATGGCAAAGGGGAGCAAATCTAGGACACCTGGATCCACAACAATCCGGAAAAGGTAAACGACAGATCCAACGGCGACGTAGCCTCGGACTCCTACCACAAATACAAAGAAGACGTGGCTTGCATGAAGGAAGTCGGAGTAGACTTCTACCGATTGTCAATCGCCTGGTCTAGGATCCTACCAAATGGTCGTCTAGATAAAATTAACCTACCAGGAGTCAACTACTACACAAACTTATTCAAGGAGTTGCAAGCGAATAATATCAAGGCGATGGTAACTCTGTACCACTGGGATGTACCAACGGCTCTTCAAGACATAGGCGGTTGGACTAACTCGTCGATAGTTGATCTGTTTGCTGATTACGCTCGTCTTTGCTATGAGCTTTTTGGGGAATATGTAGACACTTGGATAACTATCAATGAACCGAAGCAGATTTGTCATGCTGGGTACGGTACGGGTGGGTTTGCCCCAGGGATTGTCTCGCCAGGAGTCGGTGAATATACTTGTGCCAGGAACGTTTTACTTGCCCACGCCAAAGCTTGGCACATCTATAATGACGAGTTTAGGTCAAAATATAACGGTAATTATCAGTAAAAAACGCATTTAAAAGCTTTAGATCAGTTAAATTTTTAAATAATCACTAAGTACTAATTTCTACTGAATTAAATATTTGACGTGGATATATTTTCTGAGAGCAAATCATTTTTTTTTTTTAGGTAGGGCTACGATTGTAATCGATTCTGATTGGTATGAGCCTACTACAGATAGTGAGGAAGACAAGACGGCTGCGGAGACGAAGATTCAGTTCATTGTAAGTTTCAGAATTATTATTTTCTATAGCAAATGCTAAAGTGAGCTCTAAACAGCTCAAATCAAGTGATCGACATATTTTTTGACGATACCCAAAACTCTCACTCTACATTTTTTGTCGGTACTGCAAAAAACGACCGATCTTGCTTAGTTGTGATATCAATAATGCCTAGTTGCACTGAAATTATACCAAAAACTTAATAAAGCCCTTCTTAAAAATAAGTAATACTTAATTTGTTAAGGTATTGTAACTTGTGTTAGGTCCTTAAGTTCTTTTTGTTTTCTTCAGTTCACATCAAGGTCCCATCTTAAGATACAAGAGTAAAAACCACAGTAAAAAGTAAAAAAATATTAAATTCAAACAAATCTTGATATTTAAAATTTATTAGGATTTAAACAGATGTTATACACCACACAGCAGTTAAGTATAATTTACCAGTCTCGGACTCTATTGCCAGCCGTCGCTCCGCTCGGGCGCAAAATCATCCTCGACTAGTAAATAATATACAGGGTGTGGCGCCTTTAATGCAGAAAATTGAAAACCTAGACTAGACAATACCTAGACATAACCTAGACAATAAATGAAATAAATAAATGCTACCATAAGGCGATTATGAGATTTGAGTATCAAAAATATTTTCCAAAAAATTACAAGAAGTGACAAAAGTTAATGCCGGTCCTGTTTAACATAGCGCAAAAAACATTGACCTAGTCCGCACTCCGCCCGGCATGCGGCACCTGTGGAGTGTCAGTCAGTGTCAGTGTCAGTGTCAGTACGTTTTTGACTTGTGGTTTAATTGCTGCTAAGTTGTGTCAAAAAGATCGCGCTTCTACTGTTTAGACGTTAAGTGTTTATTAAAGACGTTTTTCATTTTATATTTTTTAAGTTATTGCTTTAACTAAATCGGCAATGGATAACGAGGACAACAATAATACGTTTACTACTATCGAACGATAGCGGTAAGTTTGCATCTTTTTGTTTTTCGTTATCCAACCTATCAATTGCTAAAATAATAGTAGTCTTTTCTGTGAGTAACACCATGTACCTTGTTTCTACAAACCTCTTTTCTGGGATTGCACATTATCATTTACAGTGAAATAACTAATTGAATTTTATGTTTATTTTTCCTTTTAATTAAAACGAGAGGAATGTATTAAATTGGCCAAAATTATTTATTATTGCATTAAAACATTTTATTTTTTGTGTGTATTTCATACGTTTTAATTTGGTAACACTGATTTGCGCAAAGGCTCGACTCTCTGTTAAGTTCGGTTCGGCAAGCGTGCGCTGATGTTAATCGAATGGCATGACATTTTTTGACCAGGACCGTAGGTACTAAGATTTATTTCTTCGCTATAAAATTTCAATTTTCTTGATAAAACGTGGATATATGAATTTCTTATATAAGGCTTTTTTATTGCATATATTCCTATGAATCTGCATTTTATTTTTTCTGCACTAAAGACACCACACCCTGTATTTATATAAGAAAATCGCTTAACTGGAACAAAGTTACGGAAAATACTAATTAAAATTCTATATTTTTTTAATTCAATAATTAATATGTACAATGTGGACATATTTTTCTTCAGTTTGGCATGTACGCCAATCCCGTCTACAAGAAGAACTGGCCCCAAATCATGATCGACCGCGTAGCAGCTCGCAGCGAAAAAGAAGGTTTGACATCATCCCGTCTTCCCGCCTTCACCGATAAAGAAGTAGACTACGTCAGTGGCACCTACGACTTCTTGGCCATCAACCACTACACTTCGTACATGGTGAGCGGGGCCGGTGAACCGGCTATAGGAGAGCCCAGCTGGGAAAAAGACGCAGGTGGTTACGTTTATCAGAAGGACAGTTGGGAGCAAGCCGCGGCTGGTTGGTTTAGGGTATGTCTATTTCAAAACAACTTGCATATAGTTCGTAAATATTATGAAATAATCTATAAAATATTACAAGTTTCCTAAAGGTTGCTAATTCATACATAGTTATAAAAGTTTGGAGCGCAAAAATGTTTTAAATTGGTGTTTGCTGCCGCGCTAATTCGTGACGTCACTTGGTGCGATCGAGAATCGAGAAAATGAGTGATAGGGGCAGCACGACTAGCCAGTGTCAGCATAGTAAGAAACAAGCCTAGAATAATTCATAATATAGAACGCTAAGTTAGTGTTACCGAAGGGCACATTTCGCCATCTCTTGTTGACATACAGAAATAAATCGGGTGGCAAATTTAAATTGTTTAGAAGTAATTGTTATAAAAATGATTTGTTTTTTTTACTGCTGCCTTCTACAAACTGCAAATTGATTAATATACCTACTTACTGGTAAATAATAAATACTCAGCAAGATAATAAGTAAAAATTAAATATGTTGATGTAATATAACCTTATTACAACATTTACGATTAACAATCTACCAGTTGCGTAATATTTATTGAACAATTAAAATTTAAACATTATTATCATATATATTTATTTAAGTTTATATAAATACAGGGTGTAACGTAAAGGTTGGGAATAAATGAAACGGTGGATTTTTTATATTAAAAAATAAATATTTGTTGTATAAAGTTATGCTCTACGGGTTTTCTTTTCCAAGCTACAGGGCGCTAAAAAATTTCAAAAAATTTAGTTTTTTAATATAATTTTCAATGCAAAAGTCTTTTTTCAATGCCTATTTGACCATATTTGGTGGCCGAGTCAAAGCATACTTCATAATGTATTTGTTATTTTTATTTTCCTATGTTAGCAGTGGGAAAAATGGTATTTACAAAAGTTTTATTTACGGAAAAATTACAAGAGCTAGAAATAAAACGCAAGAGGGTAATTTCCTTTAAAATAAAAATTGAGTCGTAAAAAAATATTAAAAAAATGTTTTTACCAGTGGCGTACCACAATTTTCTTCGAAAAACCTTACGGTACAATCCGTACGCACGTGAGTAACTTACAAAGTCAAACTTTTTCCGGTTACTAGGGGATTTTCATATTAAGATAAGGCTAAAATTTCGTTCCATTATCTGATAATGTTCGAAAGTTATTGGAGAAAAACTAAATTTTTTAAAACTTTTTAGCGCCCTGTAGCTTGGAAAAGAAAACCCATAGTGCATAACTTCATATGAAAAAAAATTATTTTTTAAACCAAAAAATCTACCGTTTAATTTATTCCCAACCTTTACGTTACACCCAGTATATATAAAAAAACAATGTAATACATGTCAATGTTTACAACTAATACTGATTGTATACAGCTCCACAAGTAAAGATTTACTGTTCCCTTACTACTAATTCCAGTAGTTCTCATATTAGCACTACATATCAGTAGTTAAATTAATTACAAGTAGACATAAACACTTTCCAAATAAAAATTACATTACAAATTTAGCACAATTAAAAGTATTTAAAAAAAATTTACGGATTCTGACTCATTTCTCTCTAGAATTTAAAGTCGAGTACAAATATAAGCTCCGAGCTCTTCTTTTTCGAGTATTTCCTTATTATTGGTTGTTTAACAAAATGACCAATAAGAAAGTGACTGAACCACCTTAACTTTGTCAATGTCTTTGACGGCTAAATTATTTGCAGTAATATCGACAGACTTTCTATGGTTGATATGTTTATTAAAAGTTATTAGAATTAATTTCCGCCTATATCAGCTGAACAAACCCTCGCATGTATTGTAATTAGTATAGACTAAACAGCAGATCGCTGAGAAGCAGGTTATGTCCTTAGTCGCACTAAATGACGTCATAACATGTTACGTTGCTCACGTGACAAAATTTAAATTTTTGCACAATTTTAAAATCTAGAATTGGATTGTAGCATTAAAATTTTATATTTTTTACTACTGTTAGTTGTCGTCGGTTATAGGCTACAAAATTCCGTTCTAAAAGAAATTAAATTTTCGTACGAGTTACCTACTGTTTTTCATTGCTTGCAAACTTTTTTAGATTGTTCCTTGGGGTATCGGAAAACTCATGAGGTGGTTGAAGAGTACTTACGGTGATTTGGAAATTGTTGTTACTGAAAATGGTGTGTCTGATAGGACTGGGACGCTTGAAGATGATCATAGAATCAGTTATTATAAGGTAAGAAACAATGAAGTGAAGATATATATTGTAGTAAACAAGGATACATAGGGTGTTTTTACGTTGAGGCATATTTTTTAACAGCATGCATTTTTTTCAAATCCTAATTTTTACATAACTACAAAATGAGGCACCTGCAGCCTTCCATAATTTAAGCAAGGACATATATCGATCGCCTGCAAATTTAAAAGAAATGGTACTGAAACCTAACGTTTATCATCTTGTTGTTAATGTGCTTTTTGACCTTGATTTTGGCTGAATAATTTCGCTTACAATGGTCCTTATTTATGGCAATAATGAACTAGTTGACCTGTCATTAATTTATGGGGAGTGTTTTCACAATGCTAATGCTGCATCTCAGCTAAACTGTTGTGCAAAGAGACACACATCAGTAATTTGCAGAAACATCATGGAGGTACAATACTGATTATTGCTATCGAAGACCTAGAAACATGGACTCGAGAAATTGCTTGCCATGTTCAAAAATGAGACCAAAAAAATGTTCGCGTTTCTCGTTTCATGAGGAACGAGTTGAAAACTTGCAGCCGCCCCAATAGAGTCTAATTTTACAGCATCGAGATAAATCAAAACTTTACCAGACACATTTTGGATATAGACTATAAAAAATATGACTCGACTTATCAATATTGTATTTATTTTTTTATATTACGTGACACACAATTTTTCTAGTCATACATGAGTCATTTACTGGATGCCATGTACGATGGTCAAGTCAATGTGACTGGTTACACAGCTTGGAGTATCATTGACAACTTTGAGTGGACCCAAGGCTTTAAGTAAGTGCTTAATTTACTTATTAAGATAAATTAAATATATTCTATAGACTTCACCATTAAACGCGGTTTTATAAACTTATTTCCGGGATAAAAAGTGTCGCTTTAAAACTATTACTTATGTATTATATGTTCGCAACTATTTCACAGACACAATTACTTCACGTCGGCTATAATCGGACACAAATCAGCTGTAGTGAAGTAAAAGTGGATGTGAAGTAGTTGCGTCTGTGAAGTATTTGTGGACATAAAATAATATGGTAGGTATCTAAAAAGTGTCATTAAATAGAAACATTGATGATGAAAGTAAAGCCAAATTGTCGTTTTCAGTTACTCTTTTTATTTAAATGGGTATTTCTACCACACTGCAAAATTTCTTTTAGAAAAAACTTTCGCGTCAACAGGATCTGTCAAAGGGTTGACTTTATAAATTTAGTTTTGCCTAACTAGAAATATATCACATTAAGAAGTGAAAAATTCGTAGTGTGCAACTCGATCAAAACCTATGTACCTAGTTTTGTGGCTTTGCCAATTTCGTGTCGTCTATAAAAATGCAACTTTTTGGTGTCTGTACATAAATAGCTATTTGAGCCATATAAAATTTTTTTTTAAATTTTATGTTTCTTTCAGTGCAAAATTGGGCATATATTATGTAAATATGAGCGATCCAGAAAGACCGAGGGTACCTAAGAAGTCTTCGAAATATTATGCTAATGTGATAAAGACGCGGTGCTTACTGGACGAATGCTAAAAAGTAGAAATGTACCTATATAAAAATTTCATACTAAAAATAAATAAAGTGAAATGTAATGCTGTGTGTTTTCATAAATTAACTCCTAATAATAATTATCTGCTTCCAATACCCCACTTTTTTTTGTTACCTTTGGGATAATTTAATTAAGACTTTTTGTAAGCTTTGTGACGCTGATTGCATGTATTTTAAAATCGTTAACATTAACTTTGAGAGGTTTACAAAAATTAACTATTAGTAATCTAGTCATAGCATTCTCTCTTCCCAAAACCGTAACAATAACGAGGACAATGACAATTTTTTTAAATTCCTATTATAAATGCCAAACATACTTTTGAATTAATTTACCTTTAAGTCCTTTTGTAGCTGTTGTGATGCAGGTTGCATATACCAGAAAGACTACCGCATATTAAAGAAGATGAAGTTGAAGCTCTTTGAAGACCATATACCTACTCTAGTAAGTATATGTTGAAGACTACCAATAAGTTTGCAAACATCCCCTGTTCCTGTCCCCAGCCCTAATAGGTAATCTAAACACATCATTTCTCTACCTACGTTCTGGCAGAAAATACCTAATTCATTATATGTATGTGTTTTTGTTCCTTTGTATATTGAATATGAATACAAGGGCGTCGCCAAGCCCCCTAGAAATTCGACAAAAGTATAAACATTTCCTTAAGCTAAGGAAATATTAGATTGGAAGTTTTTAGTAAAATATTTTATTTACTTAAACTTTAATTTTGAAAATTAATACACTACTTTATTGTTTTAAAAAACAATTGTAATAAATTAGTATAAAATATTTGTCAACAAAAGAATTTAAAAATATAAAATTTTATGTTAAAAAGTAATACATTTCCATATTTGAAAAAATATTTTATTAATAACGTGGTCGATAAATTTTAAAAAATCCAAGATTATGTTTTATTTAATTTTCGTTGAATTTCTTTATTTTTTAGTATTTATATTTTTTTGTTTTTTTTTGTATTAAAAAGGTTTTATTAAAAATATTTCTCAAAAAAATTAATTTCTACCTATAATTTATATTTTTCCCATCCTCTACCATATCTTGCCCCCTCCTAGCCCTTTGGCTGGCGACGCCCTTGTATGAATATAAGGAATATACATTCGGGTTAATTTACTTTAGGGCTTTTTGTAGCTTTTGTGACGTAAGTTGCCTAGGGGTTTACAAAAATTAATTCCTAGTAATCTAAATATAGCTTTCTTTCTTCCTAAAACCGTAAGAATAACGAGGACAATGACAGTAATCTGAGCATAGTAATAATTTTTTTTTAAACCCCTATTATAAATACCAATGTACTTTCGAACTAATTTACCTTAAGTCCTTTTGTAGTAGCTGTTGTGATGCAAATTGCATATACCAGAAAGACTACCATAGAGAAAGAAGATGAACATGAGCTCTTTTAAGACTACCAATAAGTTTGCAAACATCCCCTAATTCATTATCAACAATCGATACAATTCTTGATCCATTATATGTGTTTTTTGTATATTGAACATGAATATCAGAAGTATACATTCGGATTAATTTATTTTAGGGCTTTTTGTATCTTTTGTGTCGCGGGTTGCCTATTGAGAGGTTTACAAAAATAATTAATTGTATTAACGTACCGTAAACATTCTACTTATTTATAAAAAAACTGAAAATAATTCGTTATTACTTATTATATTCTCTTTGTTCCTATTCTAACTATCCAGAACTTCACTTTTAGGCCAATCATTATAGCTTTTTTTCGGGAAAAAAATACTATTTGAAGTTTCTCTGCGGAATATTGTTCAGAAACGTGTTATAAACAAAATATCAAAAAATCAACTCGAGACTAGTTGGGAAACTTTGTTAAAACAATGGTCAAAATTATGGAAAAGTAGTTTTTCGACTGGCGTAAAAAAACTGTTATTCATAGAGAAAAAAAGGTTTATACAAAAAAGGTAGGTATTAAATAAATCTGTAAAATAAGACAAGTCCGATTAAATTCCGATAATTTGTTTATGCGCAAGAGCTCAAAAATGGTCGAAATTGTCCGTTTTTTTCAATTGCTAATAATTAATGCAATTTTCATCGCAGACACTTGTAATTCAGGATTTTTGAGGCTTTTTACACCCTTAATAAGTGGTAAAAATTTCAGCTCGAAAGCTTCATTGGTTTGGCGTTGGCGGAATTTGTTATCTAAGAAGATGCTATTTTCAATTCATTTTTCCCAAGCTCACAGGCGTTGTAGGGTTTCGATCATTAGTTGTTTTTGTACCTAAATAGTTGTATTGACATATGCATTTACTGATAATTTAATTTTTCAAATTTAATTTGTTTAAAAATGACTGAAAAAATGTTAATATTTATTACATCGTTAAGCGCGCATGCTAAGCCTCGCCTTCCCCACTCGTTCGCTAGACCAAGTAATAGAACGCATCGCCGCTATCTTCTTTTTCGAAATTAAATAGTTGAATTCACCTTAATGTTAATGTAGGACATGAAAATATAGCTCTTAATGTATACTCTCTCCAAATTTCGGCTCTTAATATTAATAATTAAGGTCACTGCGATTAAATAAATAAAAAAAATTATCTCAGCTTCTAATCAACTTACAACAACGATTTTTTTTTAAATTCGAAGAAAACTAAAGTAAAGAGGTTACTATTTTATTTTATAATAATTACCTATCTTAACAATTTAATAAATATTAACATTTTTTCAGTCAATTTTAAACAAATTAAATTTGAAAAACTAAATTCTCAGTAAATGCCTATGTCAATACAACTATTTAGGTACAAAAACAACTAATGATCAAAACCCTACAACGCCTGTGAGCTTGGGAAAAATGAATTGAAAATAGCATCTTCTTAGATAACAAATTCCGCCAACGCCAAACCAATGAAGCTTTCGAGCTGAAATTTTTACCACTTATTAAGGGTGTAAAAAGCCTCAAAAATCCTGAATTACAAGTGTCTGCGATGAAAATTGCATTAATTATTAGCAATTGAAAAAAACGGCAATTTTCGACCATTTTTGAGCTCTTGTGCATAAACAAATTATCGGAATTTAATCGGACTTTTTTCATTTTATAGGCTTATTTAATACCTACCTTTTTTGTATAAACTCTTTTTCGCTATGAATAATAGCTTTTTTACGTGAGTCAAAAAACCACTTTTCCATAACTTTGACCACTGTTAAAACAAAGTTTCCCAACTAGCCTCGAGTTGATTTTTTGATATTTTATTTATAACAGGTTTCCGAACAATATTCCGCAGAGAAACTTCTAATAGTATTTTTTTGCCCGAAACAGGCTCTTTCATGTCTATTATAATGACTGGGCTATTTTAGGGCATTTTGTAGCTTCCGTAATCATGATTTCTGCGATGCGGGTTGCATATACTTATACTGTTGAGCACAGAACATCGAGGAAAAGATGGTAAACTCTGATTAAAACTTCATAAAGGCGATAGTAGCGCAACTGGTTGTCAGGTGAAGAACTACGTTTGGAGCGAAAACTATGAAATAATAATTATGCACCTGTATTTAGTTTCTTTGCACTAATTTTACATAACAATATGATTTATATAAAATTGCGTGTTCACGTTTGTTGTAAAAAATATTCTTTATGATATTTTAAATTATAATAACGGTTTCGATATCTAATCTGAGAACATGAAAACAATTATTAAACATGCTCTAAAATACACGTTAAAATACGAGAAAAATATTTCTTGCCACAAATATGTGCCTAATTTTAGACAAAATATTGGAGTGTAGTCTCTGTAATATTTTGTCATAAAATTCTTAAATTGAATTGCGATTTGCCCATTTTAATAAAAGTTTTGTTCTGTTAGATTCTAGACTTCTAGAGTATCTCGCTAAAACTGTATGTACACTTTGAAGTGCTCCTTTCTCTTCGAAAACAGTAACCTATAATCAGATACTTAGCGATCCATTTGATCTCATATCACAGTTTCGGAAAACCCTTACTATAACATAACGGGGTAATGGTTTCGGTTATATGTAATGTATATCAGAGTCAAGCAAGTTAGGAAGTGATGATTATTGACGACATTACAAACAAAAAAAAGATCAATGGACGAGTTAAAACTTGAATGCGTTTTTCAATTTAATGGCATTCAGAGTATTTTGCGCAAAATTTTATAGAATTCAAATGGTCATTAAATAATTATAAAATGAAATTTAAATATCTTAAGACGTGATTTTGTTTCCACTTTAATTTCTGTTTCTTTTCCATTTTCTGACATAGTTTTCTCAATTTTGCTCCCTTGTTGAATACAGGGTGTCTGTTAAAGAATGAGAAAATAACATTTAAACAAATTTTTTTTTATACGTTACACAAAATATGCGTTTTTGTTGAAAACGGTGGCTTTAGAGATATTAGCAAAGTATACCTTTTTTTTAAGCAAAAAAAAGTTGGGTAACAGATTTTTCCAGCCCAAAGTGGCACAAAAAAGTTTTGGCTATTTAAATGTGTCCTCATGTCGATTGTGTCGACCTCTAGTAGATACAACGAAATCGTCGATAAATTCGAAATTTTGTGAAATTAACTCGAAGTAATCGAAAAATATTATAGAAAATGTTATTTATTTTTTCAACTTTAACACCCTGTATCTCAAAATCTAAGCGTTTATGACCAACATTGCAAATGATTTTCCCCATTAATTTTCATCGTAGAATCTACTGGTAAAGTTTGGCTCATTTTTCAATAGACACCTTATTGCTGCACTGCCTCATTTATGCACCGAAGTGACGAACTCCAGTCATTACTGACAATTTTGTGGCGTTCAGCAGACATATTTCTGGTAATTTATCATTTTCCATTTCTAAAACCACAAAGTCATTTGTCCTAATAAAAAAAAGGAAGGAAACGAAATAAATAAAAGCGTGAAATATCCAATCATTATATATTTTCTATAATAGCACATTTCTAAATCTACAAGCGTAAACATACACATCTCAGTATATTCTTGAATCGAGCGCTAACCCTACATCAAAATACACTAAGATGAATATTAAGAACATTTATCCAAATTGAATAAGCTTTAAGCTGCCCCCTTGCTTATACACCGAAAAGTTAAAATTTAACAGTACTTACTTCTCACCGCAGGAAACCGTAAGAATTCCCCGCGATATCAATCAAGCACTGTTAACTACAACCCAATTAATATACTGCATTTAACAATTACATCCCTATTCAAGCCCTAGACATTAAAAAATTACAATTACAAAATATCCGTCACGATTTTTTTAAAAAAATTAATGAAAATATTAAGAAAAAAGTAAAAAACATTGTGTAATTAAATTAGTACGAAAATAATATTGGTCTAGAATTGTGGACGAAAAGATCAAAACAAATTGGAATCTACTCAACGGACAAGACGTTGGAGTAGTCGAGAACGTACTCCCCCAACATCGAGCTGTCATTACAGCGAGGAATCTCGATTCTAATGGGAAAAGATGGTAATGTGTAATTGGAATAGTCTTCTTCCTTGTTCTTCGAAGGTACCTTCAGCATCTGGAAGTGGTCGTCGGACAACGTCAGGAGATCTTTCAGCAACACCCTGTACAACATTTTTCGTAAAACTCGATGTTTTAAATCTACTAAATTAGTCGTATCTCCAGAAAGCCAGAGTGTACACCAAATTTTGACCGAAAAACTGATATTTCCACGGTTTTTCACAAAAATACACTCCTACAGCTGCCATACCGGGTATTTTTATTATGTGACCTAATTTTTATGCTCGGGTGTGTATTATTCCAATGCATGTGGTCGATAATTAATCATTTTTATTACTTTGACAGAAATATATTATCTGGTGAGAAAGCAGAATAAAATTGTGAGTAACTGTGGATGAAATTAGAAAATAATAAAATAAGACATTCTACCGTCTGATTGTAAGATAGAGGGTAACTTTGAGTGGAGGTTATATTTATACAGAAGCTTCCTTTGACCTTTAGAAACACATATTAACAGTTTATTTTTTCAAATTCCATCGTAGAAACTTAATTTCTTTTTAACCTTTTTTTCATTAATTTTTCGTATCCCGCCGTTGGAGAAGCTAGTGCAACCCAAAATAATGGTGTGCTTTAGTCGTAGCGCATGCACAATCTCACACCATTCGAGTTGAGTGGGTGTTCACCACATAAACAGTATTTAACGAATAACTTGGCCAAAAATTCGAGCAGTAATCGATAATAAATGAAATACCCAAAAATAAATAGTCTTGATGGCCTCAAGCAATGAAAATCATTCAAATTCACAATTAGATTTACTGTCTGTAAATCCAAATGCAGAACAACTGACGCCCTTCGCTTCGTCAACGTTGACCCACACTATCTCCCTCCGCACACACTGTAGATTGCCTACAATTCATGTATTTGTAATACATGAATGTTACAGCGGCGGTGTACATAAGTATTAAAGTGCATTTTAAAAAAACCTGATGATGCAGAATTTCTTAGTAATGCCATTGATTTTATTCGCAAATGTCAAACTCTAGCAATAACATAATTTTTTTTTGTTTGTCATATTTTTCGGCGCTTTTATTTTTAAGATCCTTCGAAGGGAGAAAAAAAATGCTATGTGTAGCAGAATTCCAGTACAGTTGGCAACATTGATTGCTTTGTACCTACTGGCAGGGAGTGACCTGCTAAGCTTTAATTACCATAATATCATTATTAAAAAAAAATAATATAAATGTTACAAATTTAGTTTTTTGCACATATTTGTTCGAGGAGAAATAAATTACGCTTAAAATACAAAAAATTTCAAAATCTATAATACTATCATTTTTTAAATATTATTAAATGAAAAATCTTGGGAATCTTGTGATGAATTATTGACGGTATGTCGTAAATAAAAATCTGGTTTTCCGGATTGGCATACACCCTAGCAACTATTTTTTACCCCACTTTCCAAAGGTTTTCCCTTTGAAAACACAAACAACCTTAACAGTAAACAGCAAATACCGGTAACGGTAAAAATGAAAGAAATGTAACAAACTTACCAAATACTTTCTTCCGCGATAACGTGGACTTTCGGAATCGGAAAACCGTTGAACGGGCTGGCGACCGGCAACGTATAGGCACCCATGTCCTCGAACACCAACCAATCCCCGATTTTCATCTCGGGAAGCATGATGTTCTCGACGACCTGATCCAGACTATCGCACGTCGGTCCCCAGATACTGCTCGAGCGGTATTTGGCGCCCGGGTACTCCTTCAAGGGATGCGGCTTGATCACCTGCTGATCGTACAGGATGCAGTTGAAGCTGCCGTAGACCCCGTCGTTGATGTAGTACATGTTGTGGGTGTTCCTGGTTTTGCCCGTTTCTGGGTCGGTCTCGACGACCTTGCGGATGGAGTAGATGTTGCACGCCAGGGTGTACGCTGAAGTGACGTAGAACCTGCCCGGTTCCGATATTACCTGAACGCACGGGTCGGGGAAGTAGTCGTCCAAGGCCGCATTTATTATCTCGGCGATCTGGAAATCCACGTATTTCTTTTTATTTCGCTCGTGGATGGAAAAAATTCATAAATCTGAAGGATTTTTTTATCAAAAAATAATCAAAATTGTTGAAACTTACGTACTACATAAAAAGAGGTAAATATCACCAAAAAAAAAGGTTATTGAGAAAAGTGTTTGAACTTAAGTTTAAAAACGCTCAATTTTTTTGTGAATGCTCAAATGCTTTATTAACCGTTTCATTTGATAAATGTCTGCTTATTCGGTATTACTGTGGTTTTCACAGTGCTCCTATTACTGCGGTTTTTTGTTCACATCGGCCTTAGTGTTCGAAATGGCCTCGGTGTATAGTAATGCAGAATGAATGTTTTAATTTACGGCAAAGCAAGACAAAATGCATTATGAGCATCTCGCATGTACGCAGAACGTTTTCTGGGGAACGTATGCCAAAAGCTGCTGCTGCAGTGGTTCAAGGAGGAAAATTCGCAACTGAAATGTGGAAGAGAGAATGGATAGCAGCCGATGAGCAGATTTTAAATCTTGTAGAAGAAAATCCCCGATAAATATAAGAAAGAATACAAGTCGAGATAAAATTTGGAATAGTTACTGTAACATCGCATAAGTACTATTTTTTTTTTAGAAAAACATTTAAAAATAAAGAATTTTGGTAATTAAGAAACCCATGTCGAGAATTATCGAAAAAACGTTTTATTCACCAAAAATTTTAACTATCCGTACCAAAACATTCAAAAAATTATGACCGTTATTGCATAAACAACATTTCACAATGTTTACACAAGGAAAAAAAGACCCGTTATCACAAAAGATAAAACTATCATTCCGTTCACGATCTTTGACACCGTCAGCTGTTGCAACAAATCCCCGTACCAGAAACACAATTCCAATGAAGATTACCACGAAATTCATAGCGTAAACATAATTTTTTTAATTAAAGTGCGTTTAAACTAAAATATTCAAATTACCTCGTCAATCGACGTGTCACGACCACCCGGATATCCACCGCCGATGTCCAAAAGGTGGAATTGGTACCCCAAGGTGCTGGCATAGTCAAACACATCACGGGACGCCGCGATTGCCCTGCGGAAAGCTTGAGGCTCCCCACAACCAGAACCGACATGGAAGCTGACACCGATGACATTGATGTCCAAAGACCTCGCTATACGCAGCAATTCCGGTGCTTCCGTTACCGGATTACACCCGAATTTCATGCCTAGGGGACACCGCGCCTCTAGAGCGTCACTCCTAATACGGATGACCATTCTAAAAATACAAAGTTAATTTAACACCGAAGTAACTTTTTCGAGTCGCGTTGTACTTACTCGGCGTCAGGATAGAGCTTCTTCACTTTATGGAGTTCCATTTCGTTATCGAAGGTCATTCGAGAAACACCGACGGACGCCGCGTGGCGTATGTGGCTGGCGGGCTTAGCCGGATTAGCAAAGATGATGCGGTTCGGCCTGACGTCCAAAGATAGCACTTTGTTGATTTCGGCTTTAGACGCACAATCGAAGCCTGCTCCCAATGTGTTCAGTACCTCCAAGACAGTCATACTGTCATTACACTTCACAGCTAAAAAAAATGTACAAGGTAAACCTACATATATTTAAAATTAAGGTCATTCATCAAAATTACAAACATTCACAAATACGTCTTTCTACCGTACAGTGAAATGTAAGTTTGCCAAATTTTGTGTCAAGAAAAGTAACTCTGTAAATGCTCGATATTACATCCATAGGAAAACATGTTTGTAATAACGACTCAAATCAGAAGTGGGATAATTTCAACTATTTCGCTCATTCTTACCGTAATGAGGTTCGACTCTTGGCAGCTTGGTTTTCCATATTTTATGCTTCCGGACGAGATCACCCACGTCAAAGATGTAGAACGCCTCTTCCTGGTTCGTGTTGTAGGCGATATCCCTTATCACCGACCATACGTTCTCTTGAGAATCCAAAATGTGGACGTTTTCCTCCGAGTTGACGATTTTCATTTTTGTGGTTTTAGTTAGAAATGGGACCGTTAAGTACAGTTAAAAATTTATGGTGAAATAAGCAAGCTGGAAGAAAAAGGTCAGTTATTTCCGACGTTTCCCAAAAGCGAAGGAAGATCGTTCTTCGTTAAATACTTACGAGGCAGCCTGTGCTCAGATTCGCACAGGTTTGTGTGTAGGTAAAAGGTAGCTGGCTAAAGTTTAGGTGTCAGCTAGCAAACCCAAGGCGGCTCTCCGTTGAGGAAAATTTTCCAATTGTAAGGAAGTAGAAGGCTGCTAGTATCTGGGCTAGCTTCGTCCACGTTACAACCCTGGAACAAACGGAATTTAGTCACTGTTTCATAGGAGTTTCTTATCGAAATGAGAAAAAATGGAATTGTAGATATCACTAAAATCAAATCGTAAAAAAATTTAATCATCGTGTTAGAAATTTGACTGCCATTACTTCAGCATAAGATAGTTTAACCATAAACGAACAAAAAAGTTATAAATTAAAATAACATTTAGCTAAAATTCTTAAAACAAAATGAGGTTTGAGGGGTAAAATTTGTTTAGAGTGAGGAACAACACTACCAGTATCAAGAAGACGTTGAGATGCTTCAACGAATGTTCATTTATTAGGCTCATTAGGCTCATTAGGCTCATTAGGCTCATTTATTAGGTTCATTTATTATGTCTTTGGGGATAAATATGTCAAGCTCTAGCAGACCTGCAGCTAACTCCCCCATAAATTAATAATGTATCACTTCATTTTAGAAAGCAAAGAGGAAAAACCTAATAAAATAGTTGCACTACTGTCATTTTGCAAGATATCAACTTTATCGAATTGTATCGATTAATAAAACTAGTTATTTTATTAAAACTAAACATAAACTTTAAAGTGGCGGCAAACATTGCATTTATTTTATTCTGTGTACAAAATTATATTGAGGTTTCTTATTTTGACTGTCACCTATTAAAATTATGGTAGTCAAATTTCTAACACACTGTAAATGTTAAATAGGACTTTAACAAAAAAAATGTACACTAATGCTCTCTAACAAAATAACTATTTTAATTTGAACATATGTAATTTTCCTTGCACAAACACCTTAAAAGTTTTTCTTTCTCATTTACGTGATGTACTGTTGCCAGAACTACTACATTTTTCACTCAGTCCCTAGAACTGGTGAAAAAAATTTGAAAATACGTAGCTTGATGATGTTGTGCTCAGGCATATATGTATGTAGGTAATATTTTCCAGATTTTAATATATTTCATGATGGGTTTCAGTCAATGATCCTCTTGAAAAGGCATTTAACAGAATTTTGAATAATTAATGTAATTTCATGTTCATTATTCTGGTTCGTTATCAATTACTCTAGGAAGTTACTTGTTTACTTGTTATTAAAAATGTTTCATCAACACATAATAAAATTGTTTTGGTAAGCCATAATATCCCATTATAAGTTACAGTCACGGTTGAGCGAGTAATAATTATCTTCGCCATTCGTTTTTATATAATATTCACTTTATTTTTAACTTGTAATTCACAAGAATGACACGTTAAAAGGATAATTTTAGTAATACTTTGACGATTAAAGTGGTTAAAAAAATTTAGAACTGGAAATCTGCGCATAAGGAAACAAAAAAGGCAACAAAGTACTAGACTTATAAAAAAATTAAAGTTTAAGGAAATTCATGCACAATTCTACACTCCTTATCTCTTTTACTTGTAAATCGTATAGATCAAAATTTGAATTGAACACTTTCTCAGGATTATAACGAAATAAAGTTGGATAAAAGCTAAGGCCCATACAATTTTTTTTAAGTACAAAACCAAAGAGTGGTAGAAGGTTACACGAACACCTTGTGGGACAAATAAAATTAAGAAAAATTACCTGAGATTCTAGGGCAAAGAATATGATGTCTTTGGCACATAAACACATGAAAATTACTTTATTAAAATCGTTTTAAAAAAACGGTTGGTCATTTGGTCCAACTCGATATATCACCGTTAATACTACAAAATAGTACAACGAAAACTGAGTTTAAACTCTTGTAAAAAAGAATTCGAATCTTGAAAGCTAAGAACGGATCAAAATCACACTGAAGGCGAACTGAAGATGTGAGAGAACCCGCTTTGCCGAGATCGCAATTTATTGAAACCCCACTGTGCCGTTGTCGATATCGGACTGATCTTCGACCCAATGATAAGCGTTAAAGGGGCACTAGTTCAACAAACTATGTAAGAATGCTATCTGTTGGGGTAATTAAAAAAAAATAATAAACACTGATGTTGCGTCAGCCCAAATCGGTATTACTTAATCCTTAATTTATGATGATATTTTTATGTACGAAAATCAGTTCAGTGGCTCCAGAAAGGTTTTATGACAGTGAAAGTAAAAAAGCAATCGAATAAATCGATACAGACAAAATGAGGGCACATAGAAATCGCATAGTTTTTGTTTAATCAAGTTTTTCTGTTAAGCCAAGACAAATTTTAATTTAAACTTCAGGTTTTTTCTTTGATTCTGGATAAGTATCTGCTCCAACAAGTTTATTGTTGTTGTCAGCATAACATTACATAAGTCATTAATGAATGTAACAAATAAAATTGGTCGTATAACACTTCCCTGTGGTATACCATCGCTAGTGATGATTGCAACATATTTTTCTAATTTATACAACAAACATTGATGATACAAGCAATCATATGCTTTAGATAAATCCAGGAACAGGCCCCAAGCAATTTTTTTATTTTCTACATATTCTAATATTTTATTAAATTTCAGAGAAAACTGCCTATTTTTTTGCTCTACATTCAATTTCAATAACAATTTCTATCTTAGCACCATTACCGAAGAACCAACATTGAAACCGAAGCCCACTGTTAAATAAATTGATCTACTTTCTAGAAATGGTCCAGTTACTTATCTGGACCACACACAATTTTTTTTTTTTAATTAAGGTAACAGGCTCCAAACTTGATACAATCGCCAGTAGCCGCTTTATCAGAAAGTACTTAACTCGTATAACCTCTGATAGCAGATACCGTAAATACTATAGGGTCACAGATACGTTATCATATTTTTTAAGTGTTATCACGCTTCCATTATCGCTCTGATTAATAATTTAAGTAAGCTGTTGCATATTTATTAACACTGGCAGCCAATTATATTACTCTGTGATAATATTGTTTTTTTTATTAATTATTAATGGTGATTTGAAGTATCAGAATGTGTAAATATGAAAATTAATTATTATATTTAAAAAATATCTGGTATATCGTAAATTCAACTAACTGATGACAACCTATAAGTGCATTTATATAAAAAATAACAATAACAAAACACTTAAAAAACGTAAATCAAGGTCATTAATAAGAGCTGTTAATTATATGAGAACTGTTACAAAAGTTTATCTTCAATAACTGCACTCTTCAGACGAACAAAGTACATTTAAATTTAACCGACAATGAAATACATTGAAATAAATTGAAATTTTTTTTTCACATTGTTTACAATTTTTGTATATTTGGGGGATGATTTTACCCCTTGAGAGCGATGATTATTTTTTAAAATGATTGATAATGTATGGGAGTACTTGTGTATAAATTATTCTAATGAATGTATTTCGAAACATTATTTTTTTCATGCATTATAATTATTTTATGTACTTTGAAGCCAATGGTTGAACTTAGGGGTATTTTCCTTCAGATCTAGTGATTGTGGGTTATTAACAGTTCATTTATCATGTATAAAGGAAAAAGAAAAAAAATTGTAACTTTTAATATATTTTTTGCATTTTTTAGGCGTTTAGGGGATGATTTCACCCCTTTAGGGATATTAAGGGTTGATTTTCAATCCGGACAAGACCGTATCAAATACGAAATTAGATATTTTCACATTCATAATATTATTTTGATAACAACATAGAAATATTTGGGGTTTTACAACTGTTGATGATTCTTAATTTGTTCACTTTTTTTGTCTTTTCAACCCCTAAATAAGGGTGATTTTCGAAAATTTTCGAAAAACTGAAAGTGATGCTCATTTTCATTTTTCATGACGAGTTTTTGGATACTTTTAAAATATTTTCAGGATTTTTCATGTCGCCTCTGTCAAAGTCTCAAAAACAGGCGGATTTTACGGTCACTCTTTATGCCCGAGAGAAAACGGTGATCATTTTGAACAATTTCTATAACTTACCAGTGTGAATTGTATGTTATTTTTATATAACGGCTGCAAAACATATTATTAGTTATTCGCGTTTTTGTTGAAAACGACAAAGTTTTTTGAAAACTAACAAGAGTAAGAAAAGTTTTAGAATTAAATTCCCCATAAAATGAAGAAACAATTTTTTAAGTTCACCAACGGGTTAAAAAATTCTGTCACATTTCAATGGTGCATCATCCCTTATCAACCTTTTAAAACGCTTCAATTGAACTCTACTTACTGTCGATTAATGCTCTTGGTACACTTACACAGTGTACCAAATTTTGTTTTTCTAAGTTCAAGTATAACTGAGATATTGATTTTTTGTTGCGTTGCGTTTCCCTACATCCCCCTACTCTGTGTTGATTTTTATATGAAACACCCTGTATATTATTTTTTACTAGTAAATAAAGCCTTTAGTAAATATGTTATTGAATTAGTAGTTACTTTATTCGTAGAACAAATAATTACAAATAAACAAAATCATTATTGTTTCATTATTATTAATAAAAATGAACTTGTGTCATTATTACTGAAACGTTTAAAACTTATTTTCCATGTTGTCCATTCCCGCATAATTTTCCTTTAGTTATTTATTATGCTAATGTTTCAAATAATTTGTACTTAGGTCAACACTTGAAATAAAGTAAACATTCTGATAGGATTTCTTGTAAATTGGAAAAGCCATTTTATAAATTTTATCATTTCTTTGGAACATTAAATTCTAATCTATTGGTTTACAAATAAGTGAATTAATTAAATAAAATCAGGGGGTCAGCTTATGATAGAGTTTCAAATCATTAAAAAATAACTCGGAAACCTTTAATAATCCGAAAATTAGACTCCTCTCTTTTGGTTAATTTCACTAGCAATCACAATAAATATTATTAATGAAATGAAAAAAAGTGCTTTTATAAACTTAACAATACTCACTACAAGAAAATTAAATTAATAAAAAAAACTTTACGTAGGTCCTAAGTAAATAATGAAAAAATATTTTCAATCGATACTTAAAAGTTTTATTACTGATGCTTACAGTCACATTGGGTCGTTAAATATTAAATAATAACTTGATAACTGTATAACCTAGTGCTTATATTATTGTTCTTGCGTAATACTGTTCTGTATTTTTTCCAGCAACATTTCCATTCTGTCCTTCATAATTGGTTGCCCCTTTTTAGTTTTCTTATTCAATTTTTTGAACTTTTCTATTTTTTTCTTTTTATATTTTTGCATAGCTTCTTCCTTTTCCTTTTTCCTTTGCAATAATAGCTCCCTCTCCCTTTCTTTCTCCTCTCTGATTCGTTGAAATTCCTGGTGTGCTTTTCGGAATGGTTTAGTCCGTTTTCCTTTAAAGTTCTCTGGAGAAACATCTGTGACCACTGGGTGTAAGTTACTACTACTACCTTCTTTGTTAACATCATCAGTTTTACTTGTACTATCCTCGTGGACTAAATTAGTTGGATTCGATTGATCTTCCTTTAGCGTTTTGTAATAAATACGAAGAACTGCTTTTTTTCTTTTATCCTCCCACTGCTGGATCTGGTACTTGTTGCTGTATTTTTGAAGCCTATACTTCTTTTTATCGAATGGTTTTTTAACTGTTTTAGAATCATTTTCTCCTTGAAAATCCTGCACTTTTGAGGTTTTAGGATTAGATGTGCTGGGATTGTTAGATTTTACGAAAAAATTATTAGATTCGGTACCAATTGTCTCTTTGTTATCCTCTTTCTTGTTTTTATGTTGAAATTTAGGTTTATAGAAGCTTTTGCCAGACTTTTTGAAAAAACTGTCTTTAGTTTTATGAGACCTATCCTTAACTACTCGATTGTTAGCCATAATTTAAGTTATACGGGTTTGGAACCTAAAATGAGGTTTGTTACAATGAAAATATCACAGCAAATAATTTTTCATATTTTATTTTATAATAAACTAATAACTAATTGGTCGATTAGTGGAATTAAGCATTTCAAAATCAATTTTTATCTATGTATCTTCCAGATTTTGCTGTATTATTATAAGTATCTAGTAATGTTATTTGCCCCATCTCTATGATAAACATTTGGTTAATCTTTCCATATACAAATCAGAGTGAATCATACAACCTTCAATGACATATTAATCAATGTTCACTTAGTAGAAAAAGTGTTTGTTCTATCAATTCATAATTAGTAATAATCGAGTTAGTTCTGCATTTATTTTAAGTTTTTTTTTATTCATGTAAGCTTCAATAATATGATATTTCAATATAAAAACAGAAAACTAAAGGATTTTCATTTTAGGAGCTGTAGGTACATTTATAAGTACTGAGTGTCCTTTTCAAATTTTGGCCTATCTTTCTAGTTTTTTTTTAGTACTCCATTGGCTTTAATTTATTTAGACCCTCATAATTTGTTAATAAAAATAGTCATGCTTGCAGATGATTCAACACTTGCCTACATAATTTCACAATATGGACCAATGCATGAGAAATATGTAATATTTTTGAGTTGGCAAAAAGGTTGGCAACTTATTATACTGTTTTTTTATACCCACTCGCTTCCAAAAATGGTTAGAATTTTATAATACAACCCAATATTATTTTCTATTAACTATATATTGTTGATCTAATATTTGATAATATTTAGGTACTCAGATTTTCATAACGTATTAAGAAAAAAGCCGCCTTTATGTACTACCAGAAAAATTGGACAATAAATGAGAAAACAAGTCAAGATGAGAATAATATTATTCGCATCGATCTGCTGGTAATATACATATAAATTGGCTTGGAACAGAAAAATTGCAAATGGAAACTTACCTTCGGAAGCCACCCTCTGGGCTGGTTGTAGATTTTAGGCGGAATCTTGAGTTTTTGAGAATACAGATGTGTAAAAAACACGGCGATCCTTCGTCAATCAATTATAGCAAACACTTTTAAATTATACTGACTGCACACCATACCTTTTCTTATACGGCGAGGTCGACGATATTAGAAAAGACAGAGCGATCACCACGCCACCTCGACGTAACTAAAATGACAGATATTTACATAGGGCATGAGAATGGGGCGCAGAAGCGAAACCGCAGAACAAATGAAAAATCGAAGTCATTGAAATGTTGTGTTCTTTCGTTCTATTGGTTCATATCCAAGCAATCACAACTTGTGAAATGTTTTTTATAAATCTTAAATTTTTAGTTTATTGTATGTTTTGATAAATAGAAGTTTCGTGAATTAATTCAATATTAAAGGTCATTAGATCGTAGAGTAAGTTATTCAAGAGAACAACACCAAATCGTGTCGGTGTATTTATATCATAATGTCAACTGTCAGTGTCAAAGTAAACAAATTTAAGAATTGGCTAAAAAACAGGAAAAAAATCGCCCTTAGAAAATGTGGAAAACTGCAGACGAGTCCTAACAACACCTTAGGAAAAAAATGGGAGGCTGGCCAAATACACGAAGGTGTTAAGCCAAACAATAAAGAAGAAGAAGAAGTAGAAGTAGATTTAAAAAAATTTGAAAGAAATACGTTAATGTTGTTGACTTGTTGAGTGTTGAGTTTTAGCTTTAAGTCGCTGTTAAAAAAATTGTAAAATATTTTTATTTTCAATAATTAATATCTATCGTATTGCATCAACGGAATATGAATGAAAATTTCTAAAATGGAAGATTTTGGTATAATCGAAGCTGGGTTTAACAACGCAGATGAAACTGTAAATTTTGGTACTAGATCAATAGGATATGATAGCTTATATGAAATTTCTACCAGAGCTTGTCTAAAATGTTCAGAAGAAACTACTGTAAGTATTTGTTCATGTTAAAAAGAAAAAATAATTACACTGAAGTAGCTATAAATATTTTACATTTGAGTAATTTCTTATTTGTTCCCTTTTAAAAACATCCGGGATTATAACTTTTTAATGATTTTAGGCAGTGGAAGAAGTTCATATTAATTCTGTAGTTCAAACCGGTAAAGTTTTTTTGACCGTAAACAAGTCCATAAAAGTTTTTGAAAATACAGAATTTTCTACAATAATTTTCAATGCAGTTTTCGACTCAATTATTGATACCATTTGTATTTCACCTAATGGCAAATTCTTGGTCATTTGTCTTCAAAGTGGAATGGTACATATATTTGACATGGAAGCTGAGATAGATAATAATTGTATCTTTAGCAAGTAAGTAGTATAAAAAAATAAAATTTATATTTGATGTTACTTCATTTTAAGACGTTTTATAAATAACGAGGGGACGGATATTTTATATAGAGCTAGTTATTTGGAATATTTAACTAGTAATTTTATTACCTTCATAATAGTTTCTAATAGAGGCAAAATATTTAGGTATGTAAATATATTTTTATTAGAAATAGACAATTTGGTGAATTTATATACTTTTCAGAGTGAATCTTACTTTAAAAACTAATACCGATGGTAATGAATCGAATATTAGCACCACTGTGAACTGGGAAGAGATTTATGATTTCAGTAACGCAATATATACGACTTGTTTTTCATATCCTATTCTATTTGCAAAAACGAAAGAAATGAATATTTTCAATGTAGAAAATGGTATAGTCACGTCGGATGTTATCTATAACTTAAAAACAGCATGCAGCTTTGGGCAGTAAGTAAAACATTCTATTTGTTTCCAGTGTTATATACTGACATTATTTTAGTAAAATTTTGGCATTAGATGAAGACGGACATCTTCTTAGGATCTGTAGTTTAACGTTATTAATTTTTCCTGTGGAAAATGTAGAAACTCTTTTTAACGATATGTTAATGGTAAACGATAATAATGGTAAGAAACAAATCGTGGCGGTCACAAAGAAAAATGAGCTAGGAGAGTCACATTTACAATTGCTCAATTCAGGTTCGTATAAAATCAACGTTTTTATATGCTCTACGTAGTTTAGCGGGCCTTTTTAGATTTCTCCGTGATATTTTCTTTAAAAATATCAAACCCGGTGCACCTCATCCAACTAGAGAATGTTAGCGACGAAACTTTAATATTGTCTAAAATATGTAACGGTGACGGGTTAATATCCGAACTGAGAGTTCAGTGCGTCTACGAAACCGAACCAGAACTGAGACTAACTAGACTTCTGAGAAAGCAGAGGTTCGATGAGGCGGAAAAGTTTGCAGAAAAGCACCATCTCGGTTCGATGTTAATACTAAAGGCTAGAGCGCAAGTAATCATTGATAAAACAGTTTGCACTTCCGATGATGTTAATAGATTGATTGAAATATTGGAGTCGATAGATGACGATCATTTCAAATTGCAGTGCTGTTCTAATGTCGAATGCAACAGTTACGAGGACTTGAGGAAAATTTTGAATTACGGTTCTATGATAGTACCAAAAACTCACGTAAGTTGTTTCAGTATGTTTGGGTGTGCGTTTGAATTCCCTTATAGACATTATTTATCATGCAATTTTTTTGATCTGCTAAATTCGGGCATTTACGGCTACTCCGATCATCAGATTGACCCATAACACTTGCACTTGCACAGATAGAGTAATCATAAATAAAAAATACAGCAAGTATTAATATTGGGGAGTTTCATCACAACATGACAATAGGGCTTAACCTAATGCTACATAGTTGGTGCATACGACGTATGCACGTGGCAGACTTGTCCTTCGGAAAAAATGTAAACAATTATTATTGTGAAACATTTAGTAAATTTCAAGACAATTGTTTTCCACTTTTTAAATAAATAAAATAAAATGTATCGATTTTGTAGTACGAAGATAGTGTTGTTTAAATTTTAGCTCGAATTTTAGTAATTATGAATCTCTTAAAACAGGAATTTAACTTTTAATCAAATTATGAATTTGAAAAATATGTAATTAAAGTACCCAAAGATTCATTCGTTCAAATAATCATACATATTAAAAATAATTTAGGTACTTACCAAAAAAACAAAACTCAGTAATTTTTAAATGCACAAGTACAATCAACAACATATGCTCAAAATATCCACCACCATTTTCGATGCACGCACAACACATTCGAATCCAATTTTCGTGCACTCGCCAGAAAACACCTCAAGAAAAGGAAATAGCAGTACGCAAAAAACACTCAGACACGGTCCAATTCCAGATACCAACTGAATTGCGTATTGCTGGACAGCTTAGTACCTTGTGTTATCTGCCATGCCATTATTACATTGCTCGATATGAATTTTATCGATTTTTAAATTTGTTACGCTAATTATTTTTTAGAATTAAGCATAAATAAGTTCAAAAAAGTGATAAACATTGTATTTTATGGTCTTCTTGATACACAATTATGTCAGTGTTCCTTAATTAATTGAACTTTTGCACATCAACTTGGAGATTTTGATAATTTTTTTCTCGGAAATGGTTGAGTTTAGGATCCACGTCATATAAGGTTTTTTGTTTATTTTAATGTATTCTATCGTCTGTTAAAATTAAGGCAGTCAAACTTCTAATACCCTGTATACTTAGACTTTGTTATTAGAGTATTCAGTCTTTGACATAAAATTGATGTACTTGAATTATTGTGTTTAGAGACTTTAATTATGACTTTATATGTTTAAACGAACATTGGTTTTCTGTAGACGAAATATTATGTGATGTGTATGTGTGTGTGATTGTACTTCTACCAGTACAGCGGCGGCTCGTGTCAATAAATGGCTAAAATTTTTAAATTTTTCAAGGATAAATGACTAAATGAATCTAGAAATTTTTAGTTGCATTTACAGTATTATCAAAATTCACGAGAAGGATTTTCATTCAAATTTTATAAAAAATAGAAATATTTACGCAACTATTTGGTTATTTTATTAGTCTGCTCTCAAATAACCATAAATAAAAATACCAGAACTTTAAAAATGTTATTTACAGTAAAATTAACGGAAAAAAGAGTTACCTAATAATTAAAAAAAAATTGTTCCTACTCAGTTTAAGAATACTAAAAAATATGAAAAAACATATAAACAAATTTTCATGAGTTATCTATTTACATATAAAACAACGCTGCCAGCTTTTCGTTTGCCTCGACTTTTAACAAAATATTTTAAAAACATTCACTTTTTACAAAACAGGACTATTCGTTGGTCTTTTAAATTTGCAAATTTACTTATAATGCCTTATGGGGACTGGGGATCGGCACCAAAAACTTTGCAATATTTCTTTTTCTATCGCTATCATTGATAAGTTGTTTAAGCGCTCTTGTGTCCATCATATTTCTTAAGTAAATTTTAATGCGCTTAAGACACGAAAAGTTTCTTTCTGCCGAAGTACTTGTTATTGTTGTTAAAACTAGGCAAAACAATTTGTATGTTTCCGAAAATACCATTTTGAATTTCTTGTACAATATTTCCACCCTTTTTTGAACTTCTAAATTACGAAATTGTTCATCTCTCGTTTTTCAACCTTTCTATTTTAAAAACGTTTGAATATATTTGTAAACATTCAAACGATTTTTTCGGGAAATTTGTTTGCATGTTCGAGAAATTTTAAGGAATCTACTAAACAACAATTTCGTAGTACAGCATTTTATAGCTCTAAAATATTTTTAATTCGACGCAACTTCTGCCCTGTTTATTTCGTAGTTGTCATATTTTTCGCACAATTAAAAACATTTTTCTTTGTTCCACATATCTATTGATAATAATTATCATACCAAGGAGATTGGAATTTTCCCAACTCTATTAAAAACTGCTGTTATTTTTGATGTTGCTGACTATTCAAAATTTGTTGTTTTTCTACTTCATTACGTCTTGAAAAAGGTATTTCAAGTAGAGATAAAACAATATTGTGTGCAAGATTCATTATTTCTGACGTATATCGATAATATAATATCTATTATATTATGTTAAATTTAGTCTCACCTGTTTTGTTGTAAGGAAGTTGTTTTTTATTTACTTTAAATTAATACCTGCCTTGTCTTAGTCCTTAAAGCCTTTGCACTATCATCACTCAACACCCACGTTACACGGATACCGTGAAACTGACACTGTAAGCCGAACGAAATGGGCCTCAGGTTCCCCGCGTAAACACGTTAATTTAACCGTCTCTTGTGGAGGGGGAACGATAGCATATTTATAGGCAAGTGTGAAGCGTTTACAAGCGAGGAAATTGTGGCCTCGCTGTGGTGGGGAGCGGTAACAGTAGGTATATCATGCCGTGCAGATGGAATCGGCGAGATATTGAAACAATTATTTTATTGTTATTTGATTTATGATAAATGTAATAGGTAATGGGTGAGATACAAATTTTACCGTGAGGCCTGGCTTCAGTTGCGTTATACGAAGAGCCGCCGCTGTCTTTTACCTTTATGCATTTGTTTATGACCTATGCAAACATTTTATTACGTATTTAAACACCAACAAATAATAAATTGTATAATAATAATACAAAATTTTTTATGTACTCATTTTAGCATGAGAATAAAGAACAGATATCGATTATGCTAAGAGTGGTGATGGATACGCTTTTTAAGTTCGATACTTACATGGCAGTGTACTCTCACTACGACCTGCAGACTTGGTCGAGATTTTTAACGTGCGATTTGATAGATGAACTCAAAATGTATTTGAAGAATGTAAGTTATTTTTTTACGTAGAAGGAATCGTGTTTGTTGGAGATAATCTTTTTTTAACTCATTTGTAGTTCCAAATTGAAGAAGCCACCATCATATACAGCCGGTTAGATTTCCAAACCGTAGACAAACTAACCGAAGAAAAAATCGAGGAGATACTGTTAATCCTTAACAACGTAAGTCTCGAAAAATTTATTCGTCCAACACAAGCCTTATAAACATAATTTTTTAAGGTACCTATAAATATTTGTCAGCCGTTCTTACTCACGTTTATACCGATCACGATGGTCAATAACCCTTCGACTCTGCCCATTTTCGTGAAATGGTTACGAAACAGAATCTTGCAGTTGGAGAAGAGAGACAGTTTTAATTTTCCGGAGAACGGGTTAAAGTTCGCAGAGTATATCTTGAAACTGTTGAAAGTCGAAGAGGGCAGCTACATTTTCTTCCAGCGACAGTGCATGTTACACAAAGAGGTTCTCAACGGTCTGGTGGCTCTAACGGAGGCTTTGAGGGGTTTGCAATTGCTTAAGAATAACTTTAGGATTAATATTTCTCTGTCGGAGTATATGATGGTAAGCGAAATAGTCACATAACGATTTCAAGGGTTAAACGTTGGCGTGTTTAGGGTCCCAAGGCGGTCATAAGGAATCTATTGAATATCGTGATGCCGCCGGAAGATTACGACTTGTTTTTAAAGGAGTTCCTGTATAAGTTTATGATACAGAACGGGTTCGAGCCAGACGAGATATTCCTAGAGGAGATTAAGGTAAAACGAGCGCCTTTCGGTCGCTTACGTTTACGTTATTATTTTCCAGAACTTGATAAAGTACGACGAAGAGTACTGGGTTAATATCGTCGAGGCGATCTTGAAATACATCAGTTCGGTTAAAATCAAACTGGAGGCTGTGATCGAGATCTTAGAAAACGCTCAGGTCCCGTGGTGCGATACCGTGAGGGCAATCGGTCAGTGTGCCCTGCAGTATTCGCACCCCCTGGTTTCGAATATAAAAGATATACTCGAGAACGAGCCGAGACTGGTCGTGTTGAGGAATCCGAAGTATAAAATAAAAGAAAAGCAAATTACCACGATTTACGAGGTGAGTTTTAGCGTTGCTGTTTTATTTATTGTAGTTTATAGATTCAATGAGCAAAAAAAAAATGGACGTTTTCGATATTTTTTAAACTTTGGGATTTAATCTACTTTGAATTTTATGAAACCGGTGTTTTTTGTTTTTCCAAAAAAGTTTTTGGAGGTCCGTGGCGCCATGTCAAAATTTAAACCGTTACAGCGTTGTTCGGAAAATGAAAATGCATATTTTTTTCAAGTGGGCGTCAATTTGACCCAAATTATCCTATTGAAACGTTTTTTTTTTTTTTTCAAAATGTGCAGAATTTCATCAGCTTGTAACCTGAGGCGTTATTTCTTTATTTATCTATCTACTGCTATGACCAGCATTGATTCATTTACATGTGACATAGCAAAATTTGAAATGATCTTATCCATTATTAAATCAACCTAAGACTCTAAAACTAAGTAGACTGCTCAATGTGGAACCCAAGGAAAAACTGCCTTTTTTCGGAGATTTCTCCCGAATTTGACACTTCGCTTCAACACGCCCATTTCTTGGGTCCAGACGTTTCTGTTCTTATCTTATTGGTGGGCTTCCTGAATATCGGGACACTTTGGTATAACTATACTATGTTAATAATTACCTAATTGACTGGACTTACAGTTATATAAATAATTCTGTGACTAACTGAACTTACAAATAACCCTAGCCTTCCTCTAATGACTCCGTGTAGCAATACAGAATGGATTAGTCAATCTCATTTAATATATTCTTATAGCTTGGAAAAATCCGCCTAAAAACCAGCTATTTGATCTATTACTTTCTTTTCCAATTATTACCAATTTGACAATTTGATTTAATTCTAATTTGGAACCTTTACGCTTTTCTCGTGTTTTCGCGCGTTATTACAAATATGGCCTTTGTTCTGTCCCAGACTATGCTGACGCCTCCTGGACGCAACAGATGACTGTCACATGGCGACACGTTTTCGAGAAGTTACTTAACCTGAAGTGTTTTGGGATTGTTCTTAGAAGGCCTAATATAACTATTGAACCCCAGTCTTCCTGAAAACCGACCCGTAAATTGCACGGATCTGATTTTTGTTACAAGCTTTAATAAATACTCGCTGTTTTTTCGTGAAAATTAATGCTTTAATTTAAAACATTTTTGAAAAACATGTCACTGGAAGTATTGTCCATCGTTAGCCACTACTTTTCTCCACCTTGAATTCAACAACTGAAAAACGGTTTTTGAGGCGATCTATTTTCTGGTATCTTGATGCGGTTGGAATCGGAAGGGGCAATATCTAGGGAATATGGCGGGTGGGGTAGGACTTCCCATTTAAGCGTTTTGAAGTAGGTCTTCGCCGATTTTGCAACATTGTCATGCCAAAGTCACTTTGTCATGTCTCTGTTTGTATAGGGGCCATTTTTCCTTCAATGCTTCTCTTAAACGCATCAATTATGGTCGATAGCGAGCTCTCGTGATGGTTTCATTCCGTTTGCGCGGCTTGTAATAAAGCACACCCAAATGCAGAACAGAAGCTTACCCCACGATTTTCTACGGTTAGGATTATGGTAGCATATCCTTTTTCATCGCCAGTCAAGATACAATGCAAAAAACCTTTCCTTTTCTGTCGTTGAAGCAACTGTTCACACGTGCAAGATGCCGTTCTTTCGGCTTCAATTCGTAATTAAATAGATAATAAAATATTGAAAAAATAAGTTTACTTTGGCTTAATATGTAAAAAATGAACGATAGCTTCATTTATTTATTTAATAATAGTAAAATAATTCCGAAATTGAAATTTTAATTAATATTTCATTTAACAATAATTTTTGTGACATTTTTGTAAATTAAAAAAAAAAAATAAGTATAAAAGATGCATTTTTTCTGGGGTTCAGGGCTATTCTACGAATTCGTAAATATGCCCATTGTTATTTTTTCGTCAAGCTACCCCAGTTTTAAAAAAAAGAAATTTCTACGACGAATAGAAGCCGAGATATTGCAAAATTTACAGCGCTCATCAATTTAAACTTTGGATTTCACTTTCGCATAAATAGCAACAATTTTATTCAAATTGTTGCGAAAAACGCACGGTTTTTTAATGCACAATTTGAGAATGTTCATGTCAAAAAAGAAAAAAACAGTGATATTTTTTAATAGGTCTCTTAATTACGTCTTTAAGATTACAATGACGCTTTCAGAATCATGTTTGGTTGAAAATTAACGCCTGTACAAAGGCTTAAAGTTCCTAACTTTTGGAGCCTCCGTTATAAACAAATAGAATTGTGCGAAAACTATTGCACCTACAGCGCCCACTTTTGGCACACTTTTGAAGTGTGACAAAACCCTCAACTTGTCATAGGTTTTATAAAATTTTAACAATAAATGCGATAGTTATAAAAAAATTAAAAAATGGGCACTTTTCTTGTTTTTTTGCAATACCTTTTTTGTTTATTAACCGTTTTTAATTTAACAAGTCTCATTTTGTAGATAATTTTACTCCTTACCAGCTGTCTGTGAGTCACTTTTCGCTAAAATGGATGGTTTTCCCTGCAAAGTGAAAAAACTGTTTTCCTCACTTATTTGTTTAAATAGAAAAGTTAGCTTATACAATTTTTTGACTCACGAGATGAGAGATGTCTTGTATTAGAGTATATTCTTTTAGACAATTTTACAATAATCTCGCGGATAGGAATTTTTTCGAGTAAAAATTTTATTTGCTTGGCCTAAAATCATTTTTTCTGAAGCGTCTAAACCAATCTCTTCATGCTCTTTGCGATAAAGCACGGTCGCCGTAAATCTCAACAAGAATTATGTGTGCAGATTTCTTGTGAATGAAGTAGTGCAATAAAATTCCCCGCAAATACTTTTTTTTTGGCACGAAATTCGACAAGTTTAACACAAAAAAAGTAGTTTACACTTCAGCGAAATAACATACATTGAATTTCAAGCTCGCTTATAGTATTTCTTCATACATTTTAAACCACAGACATATAGCTCTGATAACGCCATCTGTTGGAAAACAGAGTGAACTTATTCAACGCCCCTATAAAAGAAATGATTTCAAATTAGGTTTTTCTTTTTGAATATTGAATATTTGACAATTTCCTGTACGTCATGTGTCGCTTACACTTTTTTGGTATTTCCATATAATTTTTTTTTTAGTTGGAATATGTTGTAAGGCGCATTATCTACATTAATGAACCGTCAATTGTGGACGACGTTTACCAGTTATGTAAAACTGAGGCCGAAAAGCGAGGAGTTGACATCATTTTGGTGCAGCATTTTATAAAAAACAAGTAAGTCTGTCCTGACGTATAACAATTTTAATGACACAGAGATGAGCGATTTCTGGTGTAATTAAGACGAAGATGGTGAATCTTTTAAAATATTACGTTTTTAGAAATGAGGAACAAGCTATGTCTGTCTTAGACAACATCGGAAACAAACAAGAAATTTACCTGTGCGCTAAATGGGTTTCCTCATTCGCAGAAATTATTATAAATAATGAGGTAGTAGGTTTTTTTTTCTGTCTATATCTTAAATTGTTTCTACACATTTTTTTTAAAGATCAATTCGAATAAATACGCCCCGATATACTACAAAGCCCTTGGCCCGTTGTTTAGAAGACTGATGGAAAATAACGTTAATAAAACCGACAGCCACATTATAGACGAGGACTTGAAAATTTTGAGGGGCGTTTTTAAATTGAACAAACTGTTTGGACGCAACGTTACGACATACGATCTAAGATCCTTTTCTAAAAAGAACAGTATCTTTGATGAAATAATCGAAGAAGTATCCGAGGACTTTAATAAAGGTAACGATAATAATTTCACCTGAAATTCGATTAACCACGTTTTATTTTTTCCGTTTAGGCTCGTTGAATATGGAATATATATTCAACGTGTGTGATAACCTAGCAGTGTTCTTGTCCCTCGACAAAGACAGCGTGTTGATTAAGTTTTGTGAGAAAGTTGCAAAATACGACGCAATCGTGAAGGTAGCCGAACGTCTGTATGACGGCGAGTCAGATTCGCGAAGTCTTTGCCTCGTCGCAGTACTTCTCCTGAAATATACGGCCTCCTGCGACACCCATATGTCGTGTGACAGTTTCAGCGATAACTCCGACGGGTGCTTGCTTCCTTGCGATTCGGGTCCGGGCATCTCGTCGAGCTCGGAAAACGCCAGTAACAGCTTCGTAGTCGGTTCGAGGTTATGCGAGAAGATCGTGGTTAAAGCTTTAATTAACGCCAAGGAGTACGAGTTGCACGATGTCATGGAGGTGGTGAACTGGATATACAGCTGCTTTTACTTGACGAGGTCCCAGGATCCTCTTCAAACGGAACTTTTCAAGCATATTTACCATTCCGAACACATTTTACCTGCTTCTTCTACTTTCGCTGCAATTAGGAATGTGTTTGAGCTATTCTGCAATTTTATCGGTAAGTTGAAATTTATTTACAGCTGTGGAAAATAAAAAGTTTCCTGTTGAAACTGTTTTTTGTCCGCAACTGCACACTATACTTTGATTTTAATAGGAGATAAACAAAAAGTGTAATTTTAGGGAAAATTGAATGGCAAAAGCTGCATTTCTATATATTGATTTGTTTTAATTGCTTTTTCGTGATGTTGAATAACTTTTTTATTTATGAAATTTTTGAGAATAGAGATTTTTATACATTTTTTCACATAAAATTCAATGGCGTAAGTGATATTTTCCTATAACTACCAATTTTTCAGTAATAATTTTGTTTTAAATGTAATACTGTAACTTTAAGTCAGGGTCACCATAATACTAATCTGAAATTATTTTGTTCCTTTTAAATTGGGTGTAAAAATCGAAAACAATGTAGGGAGTCCCATTAATAATGTATGTTTAGAATGTAAATTTTAGAAGTTGTGGAAAAATATCGCTTACAATACACTGCACTTTAATACATGAATTGTAGGCAATCTGCAGTGCATGTGCAGGGAGTCAGTCATTGACGCTGAAAATCAGCGAATCCTCTGAATTCTTTGAAACTGCATGGATTTACGTGAAAATTTAGAATATGGCTCATCTTAGGCTCAACTTCAAAAGTGATATAAGCCCGATTGACGCTTTTTGTTTTTTAGGGGTAAAAAGTACCCCTAAGTGAAAAAAATTGAAAAAATTAAGTTTTAAGCATTTTATTGATAAAAATCTTGTTCAAGCACAACAATTAAATAATGTTCCATGTTCTCTAACATGTTTTATGATATATTTGATCTATTCGACCCTTTATTTAACCCTTAAAAACTACCCCTATGCAAAAAATAATAAAATAATTGCTTTTTAAAGATTTGGAATGATTAAATCGTGCAATTATTTAAAATAAAGGTTACCTTATAGCTAATAAAAGAATTTTTCCCTTTCAACCCCTAAAAACCACCCCTGTGTTGACAAAAATGATAAAAAATTACATTTTAAAAGCTTGGAATGCTTTAACGGTGCAATTATTTAAAATAAAAATTCCCTCATTGCTTGTGAAAGAATTTGTATCTCATAACACTTTTCAACACTTATAAATCATCCCTGTGCTAAAAAAATTATAAAAAATTACATTTTAAATCTTGGAATGCTATAATTGTGCAATAATTTAAAATAAAAATTCCCTTATACTGTTTATGAAAGAATATTTTACTTTTGCCATTTTCAACTCTTATAAACTACCCTTTTACCAATATTAATGTAAAATGTTTTTATTATAATCGATTTTAAAATATAATCAATCATAAAAAAAGCCTATTTTGCTCCGAAAAAATGTCATTGGTTTTTTTTTACCATAACTCGGTTAATTTTGATGCTACGTATCCTACAAAAAAGCATTTTAAAGATAATTTCAAGAGCTGTAAGATCGTTTGCATATGAAACCTTTTAAGTCCTTTGTTTTTGAAAGGAAAAGGATTGAAGGGCTCGAGACAGGTCGTTTTTTCACTAAAATGGATACTTCAAGCGGCGATATCTCCTTTATTTTTTATGCTATAGGAATAAAAAAAAGCAAAATATTTGTTGAAAAAAGAAAGCTACATTTTTGTTGTCTGTCATTTTTTACTTATCATAAAAAGATAAAGGTAAAGATAATGAAGCTTACCAGCAATTAGGCCATGCTTGGCCCTTTTTGGATGCTAACTTACACTACCCTCCACCTTAACAATCACAAACATCCATGGTACGACAGGAAAATTCGAAAGAATTTTCCTGCCGCGTGCGGGATTCGAACCCCCTACGGTTTTGCCGCACAGCCCTGGCTCGCCTCTGTAGGCAAGCCTTGGCCGCTTCGGCTACCGCCGCGCCTTTTACTTATCATAGTTTCAGAGTTATTATATAAATTTTTTTGAATAGTGAAAAATACGTTTTCAACTTTTACCGTACATTATTAAAAAAATACGCATTCTAAACCGTTCTAACTTCAGGATCGTATGAAAAACACTAAAACAAAATTAATTGCAAAGGGTCTGCGATTAATTTTAATTCTGATGGAAATGGTACAGCATTTACTGTTCATTTTTCCTTAAAAAATATGAGCAACCCATCTGTTTTTGACGATAACTCCTTCAATTTTACTCTAATTAACTTTTATAAGTGCTCATTTTGAAGGTCTTTTTGAGTACTACAAAAAACTCCAGGAGCGTTATACACGTAAAATTAATCTTTTTTCCATTGTTTGACGTTCAATACATCGATTCGAATATTCCCCCCAAAAAAAAGCCCCCTCCAACAAACAAAATTCCCCTTGGAAAAAAACCAAAAAAACTTTTAAAAAAACAATTTCCTTGCTTAAAAAAAAACAACCGCCCCCAAAAACAACCCGAAAAATTTTTAACGCCAAGAAAAAAAAAACAAGCCAACCTAATTAAAAACCAAAATTTTGGTTAATAAAACTTTTTATTAAAAAAAAGCCGAAGTTTTGAAGTAATACCCAAAAAAAACTTGGGGGGTTTTTTTTCAACCAAAAATCCAAAGTTTTAAACCGGAAAAAACAAAAAAACAATGAATTCCCCAAAAAAATTCTTCGAATATTTTTTGCTCAAAATTTGATTCTCTAGCGATTTTCAGCGTTATATTTGAAAAAAAATTTCCACCCCCGAGAAGGGGTGTCAACTCCCAAAAGGCTGGAAGCGTCAATCGGCGCTATGTTCATTGACCTTTTCTCTAACTACCTGCCAAATTTCAAGTCGATCGGTTCAGTTTCAAAGAATTCGGAGGTGAAAAGCTTCAATGTCTGTACTAATATCAAATATGACTTTTTTTTTTAGGAAGCGATAGAAATCCTTGCACAACATACAGATATTTGACCAATTTCGTAACAGATGCAACACTACTATCTGAGGTGAATTTATTATCGTTAAATTCATAAAACAATTTTTAAACGAAAAGATATTGTCTTTCAGGAACAACTGTTGCAGGAAATTTCAATGTTACCTGCAACGATAGACAGTCTTTGCAGGGAAGGGCAGCACTTAACAGCCTACAAATTACTGGTAACTTTAGAGAACGGGCTAAAACGGGCGAGGAATATCAACCCGTCCATTCTCAAATTACTCAGTTCGATTATAAATAAGAAGTGTATTCCTCAACTTCTACACGTGGTGGTTTCCTCCAAGTACATCGATCTCGTACTGTTTGAAAACTTACTCCTGGCAAGCCAGAAGGATTATTATAGGTACATCGAGCACTATCTGAAGTTGTACAAGAGGCAGTCCAGAAAACTGCACGACATAGCCACGGTGGGTATAAAACTCCTGGATTTCTACAACGTGTCTGCGGGTAAAGACGTTCTCTTAAAGGCCATCATTACTTGCAAATGGTGGAACAAACTGAAATCTGTGATAACTGGTATACCGTATGACGTATTCTTCAAAGAAAACTCTGACACGCGTTTGAAACTGCTCTTCACTTTGGATTTGCTTGACATCGTTACGATAAGGGAGTACTGCGATGACTATAAGCTAGACGTTCAGGTGTATTATATGGAATACTTAAAAAGGTAAGTTTGTGTAAGCATTTTTAAATTTTTCGTGAGGGAAGTACATAATATTTAATTTCGAATTGGCGTGTCGTATGTTATCATTTCGTGGTGTTTATACAACGATAGCGATAGCTGTTCCACCTATTTAGGATTTACCTGCCTTCCTCGTTTAGGGCGAGGAATAACACTGCCAGTATCAAAAACGTAGGTTACTACAACAAAGGTTTTAGCATTGAAAACTTCTTGGCCATTTTTAAAACTCAAATACTAAAATTAAATGACTTTTTTCCTGATCTTCAAGTTTGACGTTGAAATTCATAACCAACTTTTGAGTTTTGGATGATTTTAAATAACATCTACAATACGTATTATTAGTTATTCTCGTGTTTGTTGCCAACAGGTTAAAAAATTCTGTCGCATTTTAATGGTGCATCATCCGCGTCCTTTATCAACCCTTTAAAATGCTTAAAATTGAACTAATTGCATTAAATCACCATATTTTGGCTTCCACTACATGCCTCTGTTCTGTATGAAATATTACACAAAAAACTATTCACCAACAGCTAGTAAAAACGCCAAAAAAAAACACAACTAGTCACTAATCAGCATTACAATTTAACACTTCAACTATTGTGGAGAGAGCGCAATTCAGGAAACAATGAAAACGACAGAAAGCGAATCACGATTGAATATCGTTCATAGTGATAATGTTGCCAGATCGAGAGGCTTGAGTTATAGTTAAACATAACAAATAATGTATGATGTATATACAATGACTTAGTTTAATTATTTAATGTTTAAAATTGTTTGTCTTTGTAGAAAACACTCTTGAGAGAACAGAAACGGAATGTTATTGTTATTACTTTACACCTTCTGACAGAAAGTATACCTACCTACTAGTTTGTAGCTTGACTAGTGCCGCTCCAATCAAAATTGAATTATGACCCTAATATCTAATAAACAGCTAAAAATTCGTCATTGAGTAGCAATAACATTTAGATGTAAACTTTGTAGGTTATATCTTACAGAGCGACCTACTCCAGTAGGTATAAAGTAATGTTTTGTGCCAGTAGGCATTGAGTAGCAAGATATCTAAGATATTACATATTAGATCTGACAATAGTAAATATGAAAATATCAATATTGTTCTCAACAGAAAACATTCTCTTCTGAGAACAGAAACGTAATGTTATTGTTACTTTACACCTTCTGTCAGAAAGTATACCTACTAGTTTGTAGCTTGACTAGTGGCGCTCCAATCAAAATTGAACTATGACCCTAATATCTAATAAACAGCTAAAAATTCGTCATTGAGTAGCAATAACATTTAGATGTAAACTTTGTAGGTTATATCTTACAGAGCGACCTACTCCAGTAGGTACAATGTAATGTTTTGTGCCAGTAGTCACTGAGTAGCAATGACATTTAGATATAAACTTTGTAGGTTATATCTTACATAGCGACCTACTCCAGTAGGTACAATGTAATGTTTTGTGCCAGCAGGCATTGAGTAGCAATAACATTTAGATCTAAACTTTGTAGGTTATATTTTAGAAAGTGGCCTACTCTAGTAGGTGCAATGTAATGTTATGTGCCAGTAGCCAGTGAGTAACAATAATATTTATATGTAAACTTTGTAGGTTATATCATACAGAATGATCTACTCTAGTAGGTACAATGTAATGTTATGTGCCAGTAGGCATTGAGTAACAATGACATTTAGGACTAAACTTTGTAGGTTATATCTTACAGAGCGACCTACTTCAGTAGGTACAATGTAATATTTTGTACCAGTAGGCATTGAGTAGCAATGACATATACTTTATAGGTTATATACCGTCCACACAAATTGTCTGTCCAGTTTATGTCTGCTGATTCTCATGATGTGATGATCTTTGCTATTTACTTATTTGTTATATCGTTAGTTAAAAAACACAAAAGGTATATTGGTATCATAGTTTCGCATAAAATGAGGTGACGTTTTGAGAATTGTTTTTTGTGCGTTTATAGCTACTACACAATTTGTTCTATTTTGTAAGCTTTTTTATTTTGAACATTTTGTATTGAATATAGAAATGAACATTTGTTTTTAAATTATTTTAATTTCGTTTTAATCACAGCATTCTGGTCAACTGGAAGCCCGATTACGAATACAAAGCCAGCACAAACGGCAGGGGAACGTTGCTTATAAAAAACGATGAAAACATCTTACTTTCGAAATGCACGCAAGTTATCGATATCATCAAAGATAAAGATGCAGTATATTCCCTGTTGGATAAAATATGGGACATAGTAAGTGTTATGTCCGGGTTGTCTGAAAACTTACCATTTACCATGTGTACCTTTTAGGCAAACTTCTACCATTACGAGGTTTTCATCTGCATTTTAAAGATAATAGGTAACACTGGGAAAAGAGAAAAAACGAAGAACCTGGATCTGCCGCTGTTGCTCTTCCTAAAAAATTACCACCGTTTCAGCCCGCCCGGTCAGAACGAGAAGGAACAGTGGTACAGTAAGTTCACCGAGAGCCAAACGTTGGACGCCCTGTCCGAGTTTAGGCTGCCGTTCATCCAAACGTTGTTCACCTTGGACATTTGGAACATAATTCGTCCTGAAATTAACTTAAAGTCGTATAGGTATTGGTTCGATGCCGCTAATATTTTACGGAAGAATTTGAAGAAGGACGACATATGCATCTACGCCGTCAAAGAAGTGGTGAGCGCTTTACGGCATAAATTTCTTCGGTTTATTCCTTCGTTCGACGGATTTTTATCGAATAGTTTTGATATTCAATCTTTTGTTTTAGGTTACAAGTGGGATTTTGGGGAAGGAGGAATCGGGTAGTTGGACGCTGTATCCAAAATTCGAGGATCTGTTTGCTGAGGTTGACGCATGTGTCCAAAATATTTCCAATTTGGAACGGGCTACCTCTGTGGTTTATCATTTAATGTATCACACTCCAAACGGTAAGTCAAGTGTAATTTTTATTTTATTTAACATTACGGGACGGGTCCAGGGCAGATATTTAATAATTCGGAGGAAAAAAAATTGGAAAAATTGATAGTTTTTTGAGTTGGGCACATGTCTAGTCTCAGATAAAAATTTTTCGCCTGCCCTTGTTGTTCTCGGGCTAGTCATTGTGGGGGCGGACCCGCTATCAAGATCTGTACGATCTCAAGATCACAAACGTAAAAATTAGGAAAAATTCCATAGAACTACCATAGAATGAACTACTTTACCTCAGCTGAATGTTAGGGCTTGATTTTCAAAATGGCGTCCAGAGTTTGCAAAAATAGGCTTTTTCATTAAAAAAAACTAAACATTTTAGAAAAGAATGTTTTAGACGAAAGTTGTAGAACTTTTTATAACAAAAGTTTTGAGCCCAAATGTATTCGTTATTGTAGAATTTACAAAACTTTTAGAATATATAATCCTTGGTAAGTAGAATAAGTGCATTTTTGTAAAATTGCAAAATATTTATAGTTTTTGCAAAAATTTGAGTTTCTCGAAAAAAACATATTTTTTTCAAGTTTCAATAAATCATAAGTAATGCACTAACGTGGCCCATCTTGGGCTTAAAATTTTCTCTAAGAATTGTACTTTCCTGTGCAAATTGTGCACGTGTGGCAAAATAATTGGAAATATGCGAAAAATCTACTTTGACTTTTTTTTTTGGGTCGAAAAATGTACATCTTTTTCTTATCGTTGTAATTTAATCGGAATGGCATTATTGCCATTTGAAAGCTGACAATTTTTCACTTATTTAGAAAAAAAAATATGTCCTACGACCAACAAGAGCCGAGAAATTTTTTAAAAAATCACTACTACCTTTTTTGCAGTAAACTTAATTTTGGAGGTTAATCATTGCAGACTGTTTTTAATATTGAAGTAAAAGTATTCAACTACAACATGTGTAAATTTCAGTCCTTAATATTAATAAATGAGTTCGTAGTGATTTTTAAAAAAAATATTTTTTCGGCACCTGTTGAACATAGGACATTATTTTTCTTTAAATTCGTGAAAAAATGTCAGCTTTCAAATGGCAATAATGCCATTCCGATTATATTTCAGCGATAAGAAAAATATCTACATTTTCCGACCAGAAAAATGAAGTCAAAGTTTCGGTAGATTTTTCACATATTCCCAATAATTTTGCAATACGCGACAATTTGCACAGGAAAGTACAACTATTAGAGAAAATTTTAAGTCCAAGATGGGTCACGTATGTGTATTACTGTTTGATTTTTTGAAACTTGAAAAAAAATCTTTTTTTCGAAAAACTCAATTTTTGCAAAAACCCAAATGTTTTGCAATTTTACAAAAATGCACTTATTCTATTTGCCAAGGCTACGGTAAAGTAGTTCATTCGATTCTACGGAATTTTTCCTAATTTTTGCGTGTCTTTGTTTACTGAACTAACTTTTGACAAAAAAACGAAGTATTTTCGACAGTTTGACCGACCTACATACCAGACACGTTCATCTTGGACGCCGTGAACAATACTGTGTTTCCAGGTGCCGACAAGGTGAACGCGGCAGAGCTGAGCTACAAATACGCTAAAAAGTACAAGGAAAAAAATCCCAATTGTTCCGATATAGAGGCCGCGTGTATCAAGGTTAAAACGAAATATTACAGTTCCTCGGCAATGCACATCTTACACACATTTCAACTAGCCGAGGACAAATACTTACAGCTCGTTGCGCAACCCGACGACTTGGTCCACGCTCTCTACCGAGACGAGAGGATAGTTGAACAAGCCGAGTGTATTAATTTCAGTTGTCCAGGTATTGTTATGTCGTTCCGATTCCCGTGAGGTTGCAAACGTTAAACGACGAGCCCTTACTAATTATATTTTCAGATATTAACAAGGCCGTCGATGCTCTGGGTGTATTATACGATTTAAAAATTCAGCAGATTAGGTACAATCTACTGAACCATTGGTTGTGCAGCTCCAGCAACGAAGTGGACTTCGATTCTACCTTGGCTATAACGAGTATCGCGAAATTGGACACGAATACTGACGATAATCTGAAAAGGTAAGTTTCTTTTGCAGGGTATTCCAACGTTTCACTGTTAAAAATTGTTGGGGGTCAAAATAATATGATTTAACTAAACTTACCTCGGTCTAAGATCACTCAGCTGCTAGAAGGCGTCAAAGTTGGAAAAGGATTTTAATTTCTGTTTCTCTGGTTCCAAAATTGAAACAAGTCATAAATAAATTATACCACAATTTTTATAGTCTTTCCAAAGTCAGTTGAACACGTATAAAAACGCCTAGCAATTAAATTTAATGAGTTTCATAAGCGTCCCAAAAAAAAAATGTATTATGTTCATGGTAAATTTTGGTTATGACTTATCAAAAAACATTTACGTTTTTATTAAAATGTATTACTGCTCGGCAAGAACCAACTGGTATGGCTAAAGTTGCTACTTTATTTTCTTTATATACTTTATATTATAACCGAATATCCCTCTTATTTCTCCCTTTCGCAATTGTAATACGAATGATTAATAGAAGGTGCCTATAATAAATTCCTTTGCCTGAATCACGCCAAATTCCGCATTGCTGCACTGCACTGCTAGGCAATTTGTCAACAACTGAAATTTATGGCCCAGTCGCCCAGTGCGGCTGTGTGTGTGTGCGCTGTTTGTCCGCGCTCGCATTTTTCAACTGGGCTTATACACTTCTACCGCCTCCACGTTTAGTTCGACCAGACCTACATATGAGTATGGCTAAATAAATATAAGTTTTTCGAATTCTTTATTTATTTACAAAGTATGATAAACTTTCGATACAAGAAGTAAAAAATACAGCAGCATATAAACAATTAAATATTTATACTTTACGTTACCGCGTATATAACAATCCTATACATTTTGATAAATTATGACATTTTTAATATAATTTTTCATTTTAAAATTAACATTTCAATAATTTCAGTATATATTTTAGAATATTTTTGGCTGCAATAACGTAGTTTCACAGTCTAATACAACATACAGGTTTGGAAAGTCCCCATGGTACATCGGCCGTTAAGTGAGAGCGATAAAGTGAGTCATAGAAATCCATGCCATAAAGAAGGATGGCTATAATGAAGGCGTCTCATAGTCACTGCCTGTTTCGCCCTTCCACAAGTAGGATCCACTTCCACCTATGAGATGCCTTCATTATAGCCATCCTTCTCTATCGCACGGATTTCTATGACTTATTTTATCACTCTCATGTAACGGTTGATGTACGTAAGAAGTGGATCTTATTTGTGGAAGGGCGAAATGGGCGTTGACTATTAGACGCCTTCATTATAGCCATCCTTGTCTATCACATGGATTTCTATGGCTTACTTTATTGCTCTCACGTAACTTCTGATAGACCATCGGTACTTTCCTACACTGTATATAGTTATAATAATAATAACATTTTTTAGGGCTACCTACATTTGTCTGAGCGGCGACAAGTCGTTCTGGCAAACCTATCTTTTGAAAGCCGGCGTAAACGAGGACGACGTCGCCGATTCCGAACAGAGAAATCTGTCGTTCAAAGCCAAAGCGCTGAAATGTTTTTGCGCCATTTCGGATGTCGACACCATAATCCGAATGACGGACGGCGATTACAACGAGTTTCTGTAAGTTGTTTTTATCCCGAGTGCATCGTCCCGACCACATCGTCTACTTGTTTTTAGGAACTATATCGATAAGTTGTCCCTTCTGAGCGAACTGGAATGTTTGGGAATAGCCCTGAATATCAGTACTTTGGATAAGTACAACAAAAAGGAGCTTCTCAAGCGCTTGTCACAAGTCGGGAAACCCATAGCCGTGAAGGCTATGGCGTCTGTGTGTACGACGTACTGCATTAAAGATATACGGTACTGGGAGTTCATAATAGGCAGTGCCATTAAACTGGGCATGGTACGTGTTCTTTTTCTTCATACAGGGCGCTTTGAATTGCAGGTGATGGGTAGAACCAGAGGCGTCATTAAAAAATTTAGATATCGGGATGTTGAATAAGTTCTCGCTGTTTTTTTTCCCTAAAAATTTAGTAAAAAACCCATTTTTTGGCATCTTCATATAAATGGAAATGCTGCTCAGCCAATGGAACAAAATTTACACAAAGCTTGATGTAAAACTATACCGGGTGTCCAATTTTAATTGATACACGTAAATATCTCGTCAGAGAAGCCACCAATCGAAAAATGGCATAAAGTAAAAGTTGTTCAGTTCACTGGGGGAAACCAGCTGCTTATCTAAGATTTGACCTTGAGCTCACCTTGAAGGTCAATTGAAGGTCAATTTTGGAATTTTAAATGGGACCCCCTATTTTTAACCTTGGAAATGGATTTAGCAGAAAATTTTACATGCGGCTGTGATCATAACCTTGACCTTGAGGTCAAGGTCAGGGTCACGAGTTTAAATGATTCTTCACCCTTGAAGCAGCCGCGGAAAAAGATGTTGACCTCCAGAATCTATGGGATTTACATCAATCACGACCATGGATTTGTCCTTGACCCCCACTTTGTCAAGGTCATTTGAAGGTCGACTATAACAATTGTAGGAAAAAATAATGCTACGAACGAGTGAGGGGAGCATGAACAAAAATATCTTGTTACTCAACGAAGGTATAACTTCGCTTGAGAATTGAAAAAAGAGATATCTGAGTATGTTACAAAGTAAAACTGACTGACAGTGAAAAATTGAGAAAAAATAAAAATATCACTATTTGTGAGCCATTAAATTCTGGATTTAAATCTTCACCTGATCTTCAAATGAACTTTTTATTTGATCCCTTACTTTGCAGCGTACTTGGATACAAATTTACCGTTTTCCCAAGGTCTGATCTAAGTAATGCACGGCCTGGCTGAAAAGAAAACAAAGTGAACCTTCAACTTCAATCCTGAACATCTTCCGCAACATTTGTTGAGGTGAAGGTCGATTTTTATAGTCGACCTTCAAATGACCTTGACAAAGTCAAGGACGAATTGAAGGCCGTGATTGAGTACCTCGATGTAAATCCCATCGATTTTGGAGGTCAACATCTTATTCCGAGGCTGTTTCAAGGGTGACGAATCATTTAAACCCGTTGTGACCTTGCCCTTGACCTCAAGGTCAAAGTTGTGATCGCGTCCGGATGTAAAATTTTCCGCTGAATCCATTTCCAAGGTTCAAAATAGAGGGGTCCCATTTAAAATTATGAAGTTGACCTTCTAGGTGACGTCAAGGTCAAATCCTAGACAAGCATCTTGTTTCCCCCAGGGAACTGAACAACTGTTACATTAGGCCATTTTTCGATTGGTGGCTTCTCTGACGAGATATTTACATGTATCAATTAAGATGGGACACCCGGTATATTAAAAAAAAAAAAATCATCGAATTAGTTGTAATTGTTAAAATTTTCCCCAAACTGCAGTTTGAACTTTCCGGTAATTAAATATAATTGGACATATTTTGTTCCAGTACACCGAACTGAGGACTTATGTGGACTTCCTAAAAATCCATTGTTACAAGAGCTTTTATATAAACGCTTGGCAAGTTATTATCAATAATGCTTTCCACATACCGAATACCCTGTCGAAGGAGGAGCTGCATGAAGTTTATATAAAAAACTTTTTGATGATACAGGTAAGTAACGTTCTTGTTTAAACTGTCGAGTATTATGTTTTTATCGCCAACCGTCAGTAGAGCCTTGCATTACCATAGCGATTTCTGGAAGTAAAAAACACTTTATTTCACTGTAAAAATCAAGCATTTTAACTGACGCAAATATTTTATAAACGTAGCTATTACTGTACGACATTAATCAGAAATTGTTTGTTGCTGTCGCGGCCGCAACAATAAAAGTTTTGTCGCAAATTATTTATAGAAAATGATGGAAGAAGATATTCAGTGAACGCCGCTTGAAATTCGGGAAAAATCGTTAGAAAGGTGTTTCGAAATTCTACCACAAAAATCAGTCGAAAAATACATTCGCCAGTATAACATTGAGAGTTGCTTTCGGCATGCAGCAAAATAAAGCTCTCTCCCAACGGTAAAAATAAAAGTATTTTTATTGAAAACTAGTTAGAGAAAAAGAATGCGTGTTGTAGAGGCAAGTAGAGTTCGCTAGAGAGTCCTCGTGGTGTGGAGTCGTTCGCAGGTATAAGGTCCTTGGCGCCAATCTGTCGTGGACCTTTTCTGTTTTTTGTTCTTGCGCAACTGTTAGATGGGTCACTTGCAGACATGTGTACGCACACACCCTCTGCCAGTATGGATGCCATCACGAAACGTGCAGCCGGTCAGGGAAATGAACCCTTCTACCGGACCTAGTGGTAATTTCCTTGGGTGTGGTTGGCACCGATTTTATTGGGGCAGAAGTGGATGGAAAGCTATTGACCCAGCAAACCTGCCAACTATCTGCATTTGCCAGAACCATCACTTTATACCTACGGGACATTGTTTTCGTCGCACGTGCCCACTCTCTTTGCCAATGCAGGCAGCTGCGTGGAAAAGCGACACGATTGCAGAATTCTACGTTGAGGAATCTATACTCAACAAAACGAAAATCGCAAAGACGATTTTAAGCGAAGGTCAAACTGAAAACATAATTATTACCGATTATAAATAATTCTACTAGATTTACAAATTGTTAACGTAGATAATAATCCTCAAACGTTTTCAAATGAAACTCCTTCGACTCTAGGAATTAATTTTTATATTGCGTCCGGGTGTTCACATTTAATACCTGTTTAACAAAAAATAAGTAAATTTGTTTTGTATTTGCTGTCATTTTTCTGTTTACATTGTCGTAATAAATTGTGATAAGTAATAATATATCCATTTTTCTAAATTATAAATTTTACGGTTGGCGATAAAATTTTGTATGCACCACGTTAGTAAAGTGTCTTTATCGAACTTGCCTGCTATTCGCCTCGTTCGGCTCACAATCTCGGGCTCGTTCAATAAATAATCACTGACTTGGTACATAAATAACTATTTTTTTAGTCTTGTCCGGTGCTGTACTCTCTGAATTTTGAAAATGTAGTCCAGAGGTGTATTATAGACAAAAAGTTCGAGTTTGCGGCCATATTGTTGCAATATTTATCCGACGAAAAGAAGGATGTTTATGTTAAGGTAATTGTATTGAATTATCCTTAAATCCTTGACACATTTTTTGGTTGTTAATTATTACCGCCAAACTTTTTCAGAAAATTTCACCAAATAGAACCCTGTTTCTGGATTTGGATAACTTATCAAAAAATGGAATATGGGGAACTAGAAATGTAAATATTCGTAATATTCTTCTATAACATAATTTATTTATTTGTTTTTCAGATCAAGTCTTGGCTCGCTACAAAAAATTTATTTTAATTTAAGCGCTAATAAAAATGAAAGTTTTCTATTTTTATATTTAATAAAATGTTTATTTTTACTATTTTTCTTTTTTCGTTTATGGTAATTTTTTTAATCTCTTTAATACGTTAAAATTTTTAATACTAAGGTAGGTACTCTCCTGCACTGAACTAAATACAGGGTGATTCAAAACTTATCAAAAAAAATTTTTGAATGGACTCAAATACAATTTTGCAAAAAAGAAATCGAAAAGGGTAGATCGAAAGTGATTTAAAAATATATTTCTGCACGGCACTGGACATTGGTCCAGTGTAAAACCTGACCTTACTGAAGACAAAGCATGCAGTCGGCGACCGGCACGGTGACAAAGTGTAATAAAAAATAAACGAACAAAATAACGAAAGAATTCAAATTCAACTGCTTTTGCCGTTATTGCTATTATTAATTAATAAAATTAATTTGTGGTTTTAATTAATAAAATAATTTGACATGATGATGTTACAACTGTTCAAAATTTTGTCCAGCGACGTGTAAAAATATTTGGCCCTGTTTTACCCAGCTTCCACGAACTAACACAAAAGTCGTCTTGCCTTACCATAAATTAAAACGATATCCATCAACTCCGAGTTGCTATACACGTTAAGCCACTTTTGACACTGGAACAACTACTGTAAACACTATTGCAATGACGTTAATACTAAAATTGGGCTTCAGCATTCAGAATCACCTGTGACCAAGAGGGCGAATTACGCTAGAGACAGTAGCCCAGCGATGTAAGGGTTTTAAATACTACAACATTTTTTTCTCGGAAACTAGATTTTACAAAAATTTTTTTACCATATTGACTATATTTTTGATGACGCATCTATATCCAAAATTTGTTGGAACAAATGTCCTTTAGGGTGCCCCAAAAAAAAGAATATTTCTTTTTTCGTGTTGCGAAATATTAGTTTGTTTTAAGAGCCCCCTCACAAAATGAGCACAAAAAAATTAAAAATTTTTTTAGAGGTCGCTCAAGATTTTTAAAAATTTCCAAAATCGTCAAAAATTTATTTTTAAAATTTTTTTTCTCGTTATTTTATCATTTTCTAGGTTGAAAAAAATCTCAATTCTGAAAATTTCAAATCGATATTTTAATTTCTAAAGGTCGCTGATAATTATTTTAACTTGCAAAGTGGTGTGCTTATGTTTTTGAGCGCCCTCTAAAAATAAATATCAACGAACTAATAATTTTTTTATTGAGTTTGATGAACAAAAGATAAAAGTAAATCATGACACTTAAATTTAAAAAAATTAAAAAATTATAAATATTTGATAACAGTGGGGTAGTAAATTTTGCCTCGAGAAATTTTTTAAGTGTAATTTATTTTTATTCTTTTCATCAAATTCGATAGAAAAATTACTAATTCCTTAATATTTAATTTTAGAGGTCGCTCGAAAACATTTTAAGTACACTACTATGAAAGTTAAAATAATTATGAGCGACGTTTAGAAATTAAAATGTCGATTTGAAATTTTTAGAATCGAGACTTTTTTCAACCTAGAAAATGATAAAATAATGAGAAAAAAAATCTAAGGAAAAAAATTAAATTTTTGATGATTTTGGAAATTTTTAAAAATCTTGAGCGACCTCTAAAAAATTTTATTTGAACTACTACACTACTTTGAAAGTTAAAATAATTATGAGTGACGTTTAGAAATTAAAATATCGATTTGAAATTTTTAGAATTGATCGAGATTTTTTTCAACCTAGAAAATGATAAAATAATGAGAAAAAAAATCTAAGAAAAAAAATTTAAATTTTTGACGATTTTGGAAATTTTTAAAAATCTTGAGCGACCTCTAAAAAAATTTTATTTGAACTGATTTTTTGAGGGGGCTCTTAAAACATGATAAACTAACATATTTTCACAAGACACGAAAAAAAAATATTCGTTTTTTTTGGGCCACCCTAATGTCCTTGTTATATTCACGTAGGTAGTTTTAAATTCTTGGATTGAAATCTGTAGACTTGATTATCCAGATTGATAATGTTTTTAATGAAAGCGACATCTCGTAAGAAATAGAGTAGATACTGCTTTTAGCGTTCCGTAAATTTCCCACTGAGTACGAGCCGCTTGTTAACAGATGGCGCGGACAGTAAAAAGGGCTGACCAACCAATATTTATAATCTATATTTCCCAAAGGATGTTTATTTAAATTTATTCAAGGGCACAACTTTTCCATGCCATACAATGTCACACTTTTATTTTGCGACATATACAGTGGTGTCAGTGGTTTTATTAATAAAGCCATTGTAGCCAACCACACATCGACGCCATCTGTGAACGAGATCCTTGTACTAAGAGTTTGGACAATTCGTATTTAATACGGTTGTTAAAAAAGAAATTATTAAATATTCTCGTCTAATGTCTCTAAAAAGAAAAAAAGGTAAGTCAGATTTATAATCCAATAATATACAGGGTGCGTAACAAGAGCAGGTAAAAAATTTGAAAAGCTGCTATAAACTCGGCTAAAAAAAAATATTTTCCAGGGATGCGATTAATGGGAAGTTGAATTAAAGTGTCGCATGAAACAAACGAATGAAACTTTGCACGATTATAACAAATATTATTTTTTTAAAATGGAATAAATAAAAATTGTCAATTATTATGGAAACGATTTTTTGAAGCTCATGATTTTAGTTGATAACAAATTGTGGTACATCACATTTTTTTCTTTTGTAAGAGCAAAAGTCTTGACGAAATTTAGTAAGAAACTCTATCCAAACCAAGCAAATTGTGATAAAATACGAAACTGCATAGGTTTGCGCATATAAAAGAAAGAAATGTGTTTTATATCGATTTAAATTTACTTATCTATGCATATTTTGATACATTAACTAATATCGCGCGGCAAATTTACAATTAGCCTAATCTACATATATTTTCCTAAGGTCACAGCTTTTAGGAAGACTCTAGATAAAAATGTACATTAAAGATAAATGACAGGCCGAAATCATTATACTTGATACTCGAAAGAAAAAATGCAGCTGCTTAATACGAACACAGATGATGGAGAAAGTAATTTTGAGCAAAAAAGTTCACATCAACATATGTCCGAAAACGCCCTCATGTGGCGCTACGCCCCTTTAAAGGGGGCCATTAAGACACAATTTTATTACAATATCTCGAAAATGCTACGAAATGAATTGGTAAAATTTTATACAGAGGTACCATTTATAACGAAGAATTACTTTATCTAAATCAAATTGACCCATTGTTTTCAGAGGCGTCCCTATGTGGGGGCAAGTCAAGGTTCAAAATCCGTAACTTTTTTATTTTTAAATTCGAAATTCTTTCTTCGAAAATCGAAATCCATTTCTACATAAAAAAGATATATTTGTTTCATTACGATATTTGCAAGGGTTTTCCAAAAAAATCCGATTTTAACTTCTTATTATGCTTCTGCTGAAAATTAAAAAATATGTAGAAGCTAGAATTCTATTTTTCCTACATGAAACAAGTATATCTTTTTTATGTAGAAATGGTCAAGGATTTCGATTTTCGGAAAAAGAATTACGAATTTGACAAACAAAAAAAACTTTTTTGCTCAAAATTACTTTCTCTGTCATCCGTGTTCGTTTGGCACACCGGAAATGAAACACCCTGTATATTCGCCTAAATACATTTTACCTATGATCGTGTCAAAAACGAAAATTGACTTTTTTTTTGCAAAATTTCCACTAAAAAAATTACTCTTTATGTGAGAACCTGCGCAATAAAATCTTTATTTCAGTTAAAAGGTAGGAATGTCAATATTTCATTCATTTTAACTTTCTATCAATGTGTACATTTAACATGATTTTTAAACAAAAACACAGCCGACAAAATGTAACTGACCTCTTCCGAAGATTTTCGACGCACGGAATCTGAATCCTAACAAAATGTTGCTCCATCACATCGGTTTTTCGAGATATCCTAACCTAAAAGTACGAAAATCCTACTTTTTCTTTATATTTGAGGTTATATGTTACATCACAAGATAATTTTTCTCCACAAAACTCGTTATGGCATTTGAAAATACTGCTTTGCTACCTAAAAATCCATTTCGAATAAGCCAAACTAATCAATTTCATCAGACGACTTCTCGCAGAGGAAAGAAATATTCGAACGTTCGTTTTCAAATGCTCTAACGAGTTTTGTTGGAGCAAAGTTACACCTTGTGAACTTGTGAAGTTAAATATATAATCTCAAATATAGTGAATATAGTGT